AAGACCGAAAAATCCAGTCGATATCGAGAATTTCTCGGGGGACACCCGTTACAGCATGAGAGACCCTTGGCTGCAAGGGGTGATTCTTTGCGAGGGATGCCGTGCGTGTCGGTCCTCGCCCCTGATTCGCTCCACCTTCGGTTGGCCCCGAGGGGATTGAAATTAAAATGACAATGAGGGCAGGATCCGAAGGGAGGCTAAAAATGCGTACCCTTGCCATCGTCCAATCAGCTACGGATTCGTGGATGCCATGGCGACCCTTCTTCTCTCCCCTTTTTCTTGTCCCTTCTCTCTCGTTCTCTCTCTTTCCCTCTCTCGTTTCCATCACGTGAAATGCTGTTCATGCGGAAAAAAGGCCGAGAACGAGGAAGATGGAGGGCGAAATGAAAACGTTTAAAGCGGCCTAGCGATCTTCACAGAAAGTTTTCAACCCCTTTCGCGACATCATTCGAGGGAGAAACAAAATAAATGGGTACGGACGGACATGGGGAAACGGGATGCATAATCGAGGCCGGGGAGACCGCCGATTAATATTCTAATTACGAGAATCGAGAGATAAGTATGTCGGGATTGCATTCCCTCGGGGGACTCGTTGAATATTTATTGTGCATCTGCAATAAAAGAATTGTAATCGAGATTAATTCGAAGACTTATTCCTTGTCGATTGAAAGGTTCTGGTATATGTTTGCACTCGTTGTTATCAAGAGGCTTGTCGATGGTAATACAAATGGAAATCCTGATTCTTAAACTTGCACCACTTCTATAATAACCAAATCATTTATTTGTGAATGAGATAAGATGTTGAAATATAGAAACCTCACAGATTCTCAAAATAGCCATTAGGTACTAGAAAAATAGAGAACAAAAAAAAGGGGTAGGTTCCGATTTATTCGCGGAAAATCGAAGGAATCCGCGGCGAACGTTTTAATTTCCGCCCCATTTTCCGTCTTTCGACGATCTCTCCACCCTCTTGTTTCAACCCGATCTCCATCCTCCTTCTCCTCCTTTCTTCCATTTCCTCTTGGTTGCCGGTAGATGCGCGGCATGCAAAGCCGTAATTAGTGGCTTCGCGTGTAATTATCGTGGAAAAAAGGGCTCTGAATGCCCATAGTATTCAGGCTGTCGAGGATGAGTCCTTCGCAATGGAATCCCACCGAGCACCCTTGAGACATGCGGTTCTTCCTTCCTTTTTCCCTCGTCCCAGCCGTTACCATCCACCGTTGCTTGTTCCTCCCTTGTGCACATTCGTTGCTTGTTCGTTTTCGATTCCGCTTTCTTTTATTTTCGTTATCGAGAACCGAGTCTCTCGGTTCTTCGAACGAGAGGAGCCAAGAAACTGTCTTGTGTCAATATTGAAAACTCTCGCGACGGTGACAATATTGATCTGTACTACTTATAATTCTTACTGCAATTCATTAAATCGTACAGCGATGATCGACGATCAGGAACGTGGTCCTCGCGTTCCAAGGCCTAATGGCAACCCCCGAGCAATGACGACTATAGCGTGCGGTGCGGATACAGGGGAGGGACGGGGGAGGTTCGGCCGCGGGGGTTTTCGAGGGCTCTACGGCCCGGTTTCGATTCATTGTACAATAATATGACGGAAATGTCAGTCAATTAATAAGCATACCGAAGCTGACTAATTTCCGCCTTTGTTCGTACCACCGGCAGGGAGGATGGATGAATAAGTGGCCATTATGCGGCTTTTATGATTGGTCAGATCCGTATCACGACAGCCGGTTCCGCTTTTATAAACCGGCGGCGGCGGCACGTCGAAACTTCTCCTCTCCTCTCTTCTGCGGCGAACCTTTTTAACCGCGTGCACGTGCCGCACCGAACATATCCTCAGCCTCCTTCTCTTGTTCCCTCCTCGGTCCTCCTCTTTGTTTTTTTCCCCCTTACCTTCGTTCTCTTTCTGCTCGTTCGTCTAATTTCTATCACCGTTCGCTTCTCAATCTTCCCGGAGACTTTGACAGTTTTGTCAGCCGATAAATAAGATATTACGAAATTGTTTTACTCGATGATCCCGCGTGATTATTGCAGATTGATTCGTGGAACTTGGAATGGAACCGGACGTCGGGTTACAAGTTACAATTAGAGAAGTTGCGTCCTTTGAATTCGAAACTATCGCAAGTTCCGTTGCGGTCTCTCGTCTTGATTGGATTCCGAGCTAACTTCCATCCAATTTAGAACTCGACGATAAACGGGATTGCGCAATTCCGGGATCGTCATTTAATTTCTATTCGTAGATAGGGCTATTTCTTTTTCTGCATTAAACCGCCGGTGTTGCACGCGGCACGATAACGAGATCCGTCGACGTGGCAGCCGGCGGGATAATCCCCTCGTTTTTCCGCTTTTCCGCCCCTCGTTTATTTCGTCTGCGAACGAGTGGAATAAGGGCGCTATAGCAATTACACCATTTTTTGTCTCCCTTGACCTTCGCCGAAACGGAGCCACCAGAAAAATAATTCGCCGGCGAGCAAACATTTCCACACCGTCGATTTTCCCCGCTACCCGTGTGTTTATTCTGTTTACGGTAATTACATGTTTGCTCCCTGCGCCGCGTTTTCACCGATTAGTCGATTTAAACAGCGTACGCAGTGGTAAAATAGCACATTTCATTTAAAAAAAAAAAAAAACTTCAATAACGGATTTTCCTAGTTGAAATTTATAAAATGGCATATGTAAAACGATCTCAATGATAACTAAACTGCGGATTTTCATGCGAGATAAAACATTTGCGATGAAAGTTACAAAGCTTCCTTTTACGATTTAAAAGCATTGCAGTATGCATTTAATATTTTGTACAGTTTTATACGTTCATTAATGTTTAACGAGCATTCCTTATATCTCCCGCAAGTACAATTTTTGTACAATATAAATGCATGAAATCCGAAGAAGAACGGAGGATTTTAATTGAAACAACGAACATTACCGTGATTAAAATCTGAAAGGCCGACGGGGAAGATAAGAACGCATTAGATCCGCAATCTCTGTTATCTCGTGACCGTTGCCTTTCGCAGGCGAAAGGGTTGCTCGATTCTTGGAGCGGTCAGGCAATTACCTGGAATGACGATGACGCCGCGTTATTTCGCTGACGCGGCCGCTGCCTATCTTGCGCCTCCGCTTATCTGACGAAAGGCGGCCGAGGGTTGGGTGAAAGATATAAAAGAGTCCCGGGAGAGGGGCGTGGCGGCGGGGGTGCAGCTGCGCCATGTATCAGCCACCTATATCCTTGTCCGGCTTATATTGCCAAGGGGGATAATAGCACGGGGGCGCCGGAACGGTTTCATTACACGGCTTCCCGGGGGATAATATCCTCGGATATCTCGCTGGCCGTCCCCGCGGGCTTCAAATTCCGTGCCAGCGACCCTCGCCGCGTCACCCAAGCGCATCCCCTACCTCCGTACTCGAAGAGGTCTCGCAACCCCTTCCTGAAACCATGGAGGAAATTGCCAACACGCCTTTGGAACATGGCCGATCGAACTGCCTCGCCAATACCTTATTCATTGTCAACTGTCGTTATTCACATTCTTCTTAAATGCACAGACAAAGACTCGTATCGTTTCCGATAATATAAGAATCAAACCGAAGACTCGATGCGTTTATTGAAGTATCGAATATCGAAAATGGAAAACATATATCGTTCTTTCAAAATGTTTCGGTTTACATAAAAATCCTGCTGTTCACCGATATTCATAAAACTGTGGGATAAATTAATTTACGAACGATTGAAACAAAATCGTGAGATAAATTGATCTGCAGGCATCGTTCCATTAAAGTGTTTGTTTTCTGTATTAAATACAGTGGCGCTCTGAAATCGTTCGACGCGCACGCACGCAATTAATTCCGACGAATTCGAGGAAAACTGATTAACACTCGGGCTCCGATTATAAATTCATCGGGTAATTGGCGGAGTTCCGATCCGCCGCCGCGGCGATAGAACGTAACCGGTATAATCCCGATTAACCCATTAAAATATAAATCGCGGCTACTGATAATAATGTCTGCTGTAAAACTGGCGGCAGCTTAACCGCGCGTTGCTCATCGAAATCGACGAAACGGTTCGATGATGACCGCCCACGCTCGTTTCAGCCCTTGATCCCTGGAAAAAATCAATCTGTCGTGCCACGGGAGCACAAAAGGGGTACGCAAAAATGAAGAAATCTGAAGTACTCGATCGTACAACCCCAGTGCGTCGTTTTCAATCCCTTCTCATTCATTCAGATTCACCCGACTCATCTCTCCCATTTAAAAAAGAAAAAGCTGTGTATCTCTGATTCCTTCGAGGAGAGGGTCGGAAGAAATAAAATTAATCCTCGGGTTCCACAAAAAGGGGTTGCGAGTGGGCGGCGAAACGAAACTCTTTTCTGAACTGCTGGAAGAAGTCTCACGAGGTCGGTGAAAAGAGACACGAGGACCGTGCGCGCAAAAGCTTGCCCCGGCCCCACGGTCGGCGTTCTTTGATGATCCCATGCGCTAGTACAATGCTCACGGAATCGTGCTCGTGCGCATTGCGATTAGTGTTTTTAATACGCACATTGTATAAAGAGAAGGGCCCCCGTTTCCCGTATCAGATGCGAGGTGGCCCACCGGGGACCAGTTATTAGGCCGCTGACAGGCCCATAATCCCCGACGTCTTAACTGAAAAATATAATGCCCATTAGCGGGGATCTCTTCACCGGTCCATGGGATATTTTCTTTCACCTCCGATTCTTTTCATCTCGTATCGTCTCTCTCTCTCTTTCGTCGTTCCACTCTGCTACCCTTTGCTATTTACCCGTTTGGGACTCTTTGTTAACGTTGATTCGTGGGTGCTACCTTCGGACGAAATCACCTTCGACCGGTACTTATCGCGCGAATCGATCTCGCTATCTCGCATTCGTGTGTAGAAGTGCCTTCGTAGAACTTAATTAAGATCATAAATTGACTCGCTTTTGTATTTTGATTAGATTATTCGCTTCTGAATTTTAATGTGCATTGTATTTTCTCTGTTTCAGCCGAGGTAAAGGAGCAAAGTGTATGTAATAATGTCAATACAGGTAAGTTACATTTCTAATGAGATTCAAGCACCTTTACAACTTTTACTGTGATTCTAATATACATATTCTGTTCGTTTTCAGCTACCGGGACAGGCCAAAAGGGTATTTCACTTTCCGATTTGCAGAGCGTGTGTACGTAATGATTTCTCTATTACATTATTTGCCCGAATTCTTTTTTATATTCTGAGTCGATCAATTTATTCTATATTAAACCGAGTCAATCCGACGTATCTATTTAATCTAAATTCTGAAAGTTACCCTTTTTTATTCGAATATTCTCTCGAATATAACCGAGGTAACTTTACAAATTTTTTATCATTGTTTTAATGTAACGAACGAACGTGTAACTAACAATATTATCATGGAATCGATCATTTCCTGAATTCTCATTGTCATTATACAATTTGTATCATTCCAGCATCTGTAGTCGAAAACGGTACATCTTCATCGCCCACATATTCATCCTCCTGCCCCCAAAGTAAGTGATCATCATCATTTGTTTAATCTTTCATCGACGTTAATTCTCTATAATCCCAACGCACATACTTCGCTCAAAAAGTACCAATGTCATATTTCATCACAAATGAGTTAAATTCATTAATACATATTTTAATCGACTAATCTGTTATCAACAATTCTTTTATTGTAAATCGACGCATGTAGTTCCAATCATTTTCGTTATAGAGAATTAACACGAAAATATCTTAACGACTCGGTCGAAATTGTTCGAACGGATGCGAGGCTTCCAGCCTCTGCCTCCATTGTGCCGCGTCGATACGAGAGGAGCGAATATTGCGTAACATATATTCCAGTTCGCTCGGGCATGAAAACCCCTCGGACGGTTATTATATTTAATAGAGCGTCGGCCGATTTTGCAACATCTGCTTTTTCTGAGCCGCCCGAAACGCGTGGCCGGATTTTTAAAAAGGGAAAGCAGCGGTTCGGACCCACATCGATTATCTCGAAAGAAAACGAGCCACTTGTTCCGCTGAGTTCCCTCGTGTGTATCGGTTTGAGAATAGTTCTCAAGAGCGCACTCTCCTCTCACAAACTTATTCTTGTTGCTTAGTTAAAACTACCCCGTTTACGCATATATTTTAAAACGATATCGTAAACGTTCTACATATTTCACGTAGAAATCTATTAACGGTAAACGTGATTTTCAGTAAAAAGCGTTATTAACGTGTATAATATAACAGTAAATACGTAGCGTGCAATTTAAACGTATAATACGCTGTTTAGGTTCATAGTTTAATTTACGATCGAGCGATAACAATCGGTGGACGATCGAGTACCGAAAATAGCTCGGTACCGCTGCGGATCAGATGATTTTATTAGTAAATTAGAATGCTAAGTGATGTTGATGCGGACTGCAGGGACCTGTAAATGAATACTCAACGCGGTTATTAATTTCCCCCTCCGGTAAAATATGTAACGCGTATTAATGCTGCAAATTCGATTGTAGTTTCGTCCCAGCGACAACGAATGATAATCATGACCGTTAATTATGCCGCGAATTACAAATCGAACATGCGACCTAAGGGGTTTTAGTGACTGGTTACCGTTTAATACCGGATAACCGTAAGCTTGTTATAAACAATCCCTGCAATATTCAGAACATCATTTTAAACCAAGAAAGGTTTTCAGGTGCACAATTAATATCTGTTAGATTATTTCATTTTTAAAAAGCGTACACGGTCGGTTTCGCATTATTAGGTTTGATCGAGAAGTTGTCGGGTGAGTCGGCAGGCGTTAGAAACGCATCGAACGCACGCCGAAACACGGTGAGCGTGGAAATGCTCGGGTAGGGTGGGTAATGTCGGGAAATGCAGCTAACGAAGTTTACGAAGACACTTAACGGAATTACGCCCTCGCCAGCAATGGCCCCCGCCGCGCGAGCTGCGGAGTTCTCTCTCCCCTATTTTGGTCGCTGCCTGAATTCCCCGTTCGCTCTCGGTCCGTAGAAGCCAGCCACCCACACCCTCGCCCGTTTCCCTTTCTGGTGGCAGGGGTATCGTCGCGTTAATTACCGCGAGCGGAGGCAAGAAGCCGGGGAAAATCGCGGCGAGAGAGCGCATCACCGTGAATATGGTCCAGAGAGGGTGGTTGGCGAAAGGTCGTGGAAGGAAAAGCGGCTGCCTGAGGGTTGACGGGATGGGAGAGAGAGGACGAGAGAGAGAGACCGAGGCGTGGGTGGTCGACGTGCAGAGGGTGGCTAGGAGGTGACTCTCGGGGGCGAAACGAGAGAGGCTGGCTCGGGTTTTGCGTCGAAGAAGGGTGTTATTGACATGGTGGGTGTCGCGGCGTCGGCCATCTTGGCCTGCCTGCACCCTCTCCTCCGCGTGTCTCTCTCTCTCTCTCTCTCTCTCTCTCTCTCTCTCTCTCTCTCTCTCGCCGGGCACCCTCTCTGTGCGCGTCGCATTCTCCTGTTCCACCCCGGCATCAGCCGTCTCTCCCTCGCGCCACGAACGCTGTCCCCCTCGCGTCCAGGACATCCTTGTGTCCCCCTTGTGTCGAGTGACATTCGGGCTATACGCCCGGCCTAACCTGCCCGACAGACGCCCTGGGCCACCCTTTTCGACCAACCCCGGCGACGAGCTCCGTGGGTCCCGGGGGTTGCTTGTCGCCATGGCGACCGAACCCTCCTCGCCCAACCCCCGTTGGCCAAACACCGGTTCCTGTCCCTCGGTACACACTTCTCTCTTCGTTTCTCGCTCCTGTCTCTTCGCCTCCTCCGAGGGTCGTCTGCGTTTCTTCCACACGCCGATTTTTACCTTTTCTCGAAAACTGCTAGCGCGTAAAATCAGAACTTGGATCATCATCACGCGATTCTGTAGGGAAACCACGACTTTCCTTTTCCTTAAAGAAATACCAAAGATCTCTCATTTTCGCTTGATCTTCTGCGTTAATATCGGCGGAGGGAAATATTCCCGGTGCTCCTTTCATTTCACGCTTCTCTCACTAGTTTCTCGTCTTATTTATATATTTACTCGACCCATTTCTTCACTTTCCATTCGGTAACTCCGTCTCGGATCAGCTAAGAAGAATTTCACCCCTCCGCGAGTTTGCTTTGCCCTCGAGCGTTCTCGATTAGCAATTTCGACTCTCCTTCTTTTCATACCATTTCCCTTTCCGCGTGTTCCTCTGTCGCATCATCGTTGCATGCGTACCCGTTCGTTAGTATATATTGTGCAACAAAGACATAGATTTATTACTATTTTTTAATCTGGTCCTCCGAGCGGAAATTGACGAAGCTGGCCAGGAATCATTGTCCCAAGTTGCACGTCGTTCAACAAGTTTACGAATGACGGAACGTTTGTTCATAATGATACGCAACAGTGATACAAAAATATGGTACCAACACATGGTCACTGGACGGATGTATGAGAACGAGAGTCGTGCTAATAACGTACGACATATGAGGGATGCTACCCCCGGATACCGCATTCTCCTCGACTCTTTACCGGCTTTCTTCGGCGATGAGAGCGGGCCTCGATCGCTGGCGAACCCCTTTGTTTGGTCGCCCTTTCTACATCGTGAACTGTTGCCGAGGGTTGCGATCACGTTTTCCTGCCCCCTCCCTCCCTTTGTCCAGGAATGTAATGATTCCGTGTTGCTTTTGTGTCGCGAAGGAAACACGACTCGTTGTATACGCTGGTCCATTGGCGTAGACGCTATCTCATTTCACCGTTGCTCGCAAAGAATTCCATTAATATTTCTGGAATTACTTGCGAATGTTCTCTTTATATGTATAATATATCGTCTCTTAAAATTATAACGTCAGAAGATTGAAAATATTAATTTCGTGGAGTAAAATACGGTTCCCAGAAATTCTATCATCTTCCTTATAATTGTCTCCGATTTTCGAAACGCGATCAATCCTTTGTCGAAGACAATGGGTAATAAATGAAAAAACTAAAAGCATTGTGCTGTGATTAGAAATTCTGCGACACGACAAAGGTATTACTGGGAATTTAACCGATTCGGTGTAATACATAGTTCACGCTGCATCGGGTGTCCATATGTCGCATTGTGTGTTCCCCGGATCGTTTCGCGATCAGTTCTCGCGCAGTGGATCGCGTCGCGACCAGTTTCAATACGAGAACACCCGTTGTTGTTGATGTTGTCGCTGTTGTCATCTCTACGCCCATTGGATTCTCCAGATTTTTTTAATTATTCGTCCGTCAACGCATGCGAAAATGGGAATTCACGTCAGACATAAATGGTTTACTGTAAAAAAGAGAATGGCAGTTAGTATTATTTATATGGAATATGAAGCGAATCTGCGCGATCAAAATTTGTATGTTATCGAATCATTTTCATCGATTGGTCGATTGAAAAAAAAGATTGGCTGAACAGAACCGATAATTGGGATCTCGGATCACATCTTCCGGTGTTCTTAACGCGATTCGCCCAGCGGAAACGGGGAGGATAGAGGGAAAAAAGAAAGGAAACGAGGAGGAGGCTCGCCTCCATCGAGAGGACTTAGAGTATTTGTTGTCGACGACAGACCGAGGGGTGGAAGAAAGTCGAGGACCAATTAATTCGTGGCTCGGGCTGCGGCTTGATTTAGCAAATCGTTTGCTAATTGGTTGGATTGCGGTGCTTCGCGAAACTTTGTGGCCGGCCAAGAGACAAAAGCCGTATCGATAAACCTCGAAGGTCTTCCCGCTAATAATCTCTAATTCTCTCTGGCCAACTTTGAACAAAACGCGGACGACGACGGACGGCGTGGGACGGGATCTTCGATAAACTCGTTTCGAATATCGCGACATTTTTATCGGATTTTAATCATTTTCGAGTAAGAACGTTTAATATCAGGTTCATTTGTAATATGAAATTACATAGAACAAAAGAACTGTCAATATCTGATATGTAATATCGCGAAATTGCCGCGCGAAAGAAATTCAATTTAATCCTTTATTGACCATTAAGTAAAGAATTATGATACCGTTTTAATATCGCGTCGATTGAAAGAGTCGGATATTCGCGACACCCCGTGCGCTCTGAATAATCGTCGACGCTTACGATAACCATATTAATTAGCCTCGATAGCTAATCATTACGAGATAGTGTGATCGGGCAAGAGTCGAAGAATCGTCCTTTATGCTCGCGGATCAACTCTTTATTTATTCGTGATGCGTGGGCGGGTGATCGACGTGAAACGAGTTCATTCATCCTCGGCCACTATGAATGGGATCGAAATACGCCACGGGATACGACACCGTATTGTTCCTCTCTCGATTTCTTTTTTTCCTCCTGTTCCCTCTCTCGCTTCATCGATCAGAATTATATTCGCAGATAAGGAGCCACAGTGAACGGATTCATTTAGGCGTTTTTGATAACGCTCCCGGAATATTATTGAGAGGCGTCTTGACCTCGATTCCGTACCAAGTCGCCTCGGAGATTTATAGCAATTTACGATGAATGGAAACGCCTGCCGTGGATCATTCCATAGTCTTATATTATTTCCTGTCAGCACAATAAATTCTTCAAGATTGTAACACTTAAAGTGATGTTACAATGGATTGGAAATCTCGTTGCACTAAAAAAAAAATATAATGCCTTTATAAACTGAGAATTTAAAAATGATTCGTATAGGAGTTTCTATGTAGAAAATTACTGTGGCACGTTGAAGTGGGAATTGTTGAATTGAAAAACGCGATTGCGAGTAGCATCTCGATCGATCCGTCGCCGGCTGCCATGAAACACGGAGCAACCCGCAAGTGTCCGGACGTCGAGGACCGTAATTCGATGGCGACGTTAAAGGGGGCGTCTCTCAAGGGTGCGATAACTTTCGGCGTCGACTGTATCGCTGCCGGATGATACCCCCTCGGGGGTTTTCTCCCCTCGGGTGTTCGGGTGTGTTTCGTTGCCTGGCAACGACACCCTCAAAGTCCCCGCTCTGATTGGCCCCCCGTCCCGCTTCTTCCTGTCTTAGCCTCGTCGCTGTCTCACCCCCTTCGACAATCAGCCAGCCGAGCCTCCTGTATCGACGATCAAAACCACCCCCCTCTGTCCGTCTCGCCCCGTTCCACGAAAATGGAAAGTCGGACACCTTCTCGGTCCGCGCTCGATCGAGCCGGACTCGAAGAGATCTGATTCGCTTCCAGAGACATTAGCTTTTAAATTTGAAATTTCTTCAAAGATTCTGTAATATCGAGGGATTCGTTAAACTCATTGAAATGGACAATTCAATGAGTACTTGAAAACGACCTTTACAACCGCTTAAAATGTATTGAGAAAAAAAGGAGAGCCGGAGAATAACGTCAGATACCATTCAGCGGAGTCCTTTATCCATCGACAAATAAATTCAGGCTCATCACGGTGAAGGAGGCCGCGCGGCTCTCGCGGAATCGACTCGATCGTCGAAATCCGCTTACGAATAAACACCGGTTTTCATACCTATTCATCGTCATTTACTACGATCATTTCTATTTTTCTGACTCGGTAAATCGAGCCACGAAAGGATTAAAACCGGCGCTCCTTCGCCTTCGAAGAGAGGCTCCGGCCCTCTTCTCTCGGGGCCTTTTGTCGACATCCGCCGGGAGAGGGTGGATAAAACCACCCCTATTGATCCCGCTCAATGGATTCTCTCTGCCCTTTCACCTGCCACCGATCCCGCTGTTTTGACATTCCTCTCGCTCGTCCTCGCGAGCGTTGAAACGGCATTAATAGAGACCGGAACGGTTCAGAAAAAGAAACAGAGGGAGGGAGGGAGGAATCTAGAACGTGCCTCTCCTTTCAAAGAACATCCTAAATAAGCGTAATCCTTTTCAGATAGTGGAGCCCCTTAGAAATCCTCGATGCACCCCCGAGAATCCGGCAGAGAGCAAAATTTCTAATTCCTTTTTTTCACTTTCGATCATTCCGAAATCGTTATTCAATCGAATAAAACTTATTTTATTATCTTACTGTTCTTTAAATTATCAGCGAATGAGATCGAGAGAGGTAGTTTCAAAACTTGACATTTGATTACAGACGATCACAAAAACGTCGACTTTGAGAATGACAAATGTGGCGCCTCTGTGTAAGTATTACATATGATCCGTGTTTCCAAATTGATTTTATTCGTACTGACAAATGCTATTGTAGAAAAATAAGAGTACCCAAGATATTTTACGGTACGCGAACGCACCGGCAAATAAGCCAGGTAGTTAAGGAACTTAAAAGGACTGTGTACAAAAATAAAAAGTAAGGAGGGTTCTGTATTGTTCACAATATTTTCTGTACGAACGATTCGCAAATAAATAATTTACGTTTTGTAGAATGGTAATTCTTAGTAGTAGAGAACAGAGCTGCATCCAAAAGATCGAACCCGATGCCTCCGAAAAGAATAAAACGGATTTGTGTCGCCGGTTGCTGGTATGTGCTCACTTCCACTTCCGAATTATTGCGCTTTCTGTCGAATCTGAAAATTGATCGAATCACTTGCAGGACAACGAAGGTTGTAAATATTATACAGAAGATAATAAAAGCCATATGTCAACGTTCGCAGCTGCTGAGAAATTAGGGCTACCACGTGTTTGGGATATAGAGGACCTAAACAGAGTTGCGAGGTGTTCGGAATCGTGCGCATATTATGCTGCACGAGATCTGATGAACGAAGCAGAGATCGTATTTTGCCCTTACAATTACCTTATCGATCCAAATGTTCGCGAAGCGGTCAGTTTATTTATTTAATAAATGAATAAAAAACACTCCATATAAAAATAGAAGAAATACGAACTATTATAATTAATTTAGATGCATCTGAGTTTAACGGATCACGTCATAATTTTGGATGAGGCGCATAATATAGAGGATACGTGTTCGGATGCAGGAAGTATTGTGATTATAGATCACGAGTTAGAGGATATTATACGTGAATGTAAAAGTCTTAAAAAGCATTTGGAGAAATATACCATGTATGGAGTTATAGAAAATTTTGTATCGCGTATATTGAAGTGCATAAGAAGCGTCGAGCTCCTTGAGCGTGTGAGTTACATAATGTAGAAACGTCGGAAGTAAAACAGAAAACTTGTACGATTTTTATAATTGATTGATTGCAACAGGATCGTCTGAAGACGGAGTTTGCTAAGTTCAATTGTGAACAATTGGTAAAATTATTTAATAACAAGGAGATGAATGAAGATAATCGTGAAGAGTTTAAAGAAGAAATAAAGAAAGCGCTTGCCGACTCAAACAAGATCAAAGAAGAAAAGCCGAAAGCTGACAAATCTGCTCAGAGCAAGATTATGTCGCTTTTTATGAAACGACGGTTGGAGAAATTACTCCAATTTTTAGAAATAATTGTTTCCGTTGAATGCATAGACCACTATATGGTATACATTGCAAACGACAAACAAAGAGAACAAGGTTACAGTATTGTAAGTAAGGAACGTTTTAAGAAATTCGAATTTGCAAGAATTACTTCAACAATCATTTCAATTTTTAGGACAGCGAAAATTATATATCTATAAAAAGTGAAACAAAAAGTGTGAAAGTAATGAAGCTTTTATGTTTAAATCCGGGGTTGATATTCAAGCAAATCGCGGAACGAGCTCGATGCATTATATTAACGTCCGGCACGTTAACGCCGACGGACTCGTTCGCGAGCGAGTTAAGAACTAATTTTAAATATACCCGTCCAGGAGAACACGTAATACCCAGAGAGAATGTTTACGTGAATTGTGTGTCCGAAGGTCCTAAAAATGTCAGACTCATGGCTAATTATAAAAATGTTAAGACCTGGAGTTTCCAAGTAAGCTTTCTCCAAATTCAAACGCACCAGAATATATTTAGAGTATATTTCCTATTGAAGAATGATTCGATTTTACAGAAGGCGCTCGGCTGGACATTACACGATATTTGTGTAATGGTCCCTCATGGGGTGTTGTGCTTTTTTTCTTCGTACCATGTAATGGAACAAATGGTCAATAATTGGAAACACCAGCAGATATGGAAGCACATTAGTAAGGTGAAACGTGTGTTTATTGAACCCAAAGGACAAAGAGAATTAGAGCATCGGATGCATGAGTTCCGTACCGAAATCCGCGCAACTGCATCTAAGCCCGTCAATGGGATAACCGGCTGTTTGTTTTTGGGGGTGATGAGAGGAAAATTAGCGGAGGGTGAAGACTTTAAAGATGAAGAGGCTCGATGTGTGGTGACGGTAAGTTTCTCATCCCTGCGATTAGATTTTAATCATTATGAAAGCTCTGCAATAATTCGATTCACAGGTTGGGTTACCATTCATGGCAATAAACATGGAGCTCGATTTTAAAATGGCCTATAATGATGCACACAGGTCTGAAGGACTGTTACAGAGTGACGAGTGGTATAAGACACAAACTTACAGAGCTCTGAACCAAGCTCTAGGACGCTGTATACGACACATGAATGATTGGGGAGCGATACTACTTATTGATGAAAGGTTCGTACACTTTAATTAACTTCCATTTCTCACATGTATACGACGCTGTTACTTTCGTTTTTCAGATTCAGTAAACCTGCTAATCGAAAAAAGCTACCAAAATGGGTGACTGATGTGGTAATTATTACTTCATTTACATTTAATTAGAATAATTTGAATTTTACTAATTACTTGTTTATAGTTTTCAAAAAGTACAAGTCCGAACAGCTGGAGGGCTGAACTCCAAAAGTTCATAAAAACACATGAGACAATAGCTGATAATTAATAGAGGGAGAGAGTATGTGCCGACTAATACAGATTTTATAGAAGATGATGGAGCCATATAAAACAGTGAGCAAAAATACGATAAAATACTGCTAATCTAACTTATCACAAAAGAACATTTTATTAACGCCTAATTGAAATCGAAAATGTGGAATCTATGCAAATACATGTGCTTACAGTTTTTTTAGAGATTAACTGTGTCTCGTTTTTGTATTGTACGAAGATTTTTCTTCTTAATCTTCTTTAATTTGGCAGTGTTCGTGATCTGCAAGAAAGAATTATTATGTGTACTTTATTTCTTTCCATTTTCTCATTTTTCACTTCGTGATATTCTTTATACTTACGACTTGTACAATTTCACTCTTCCTTTGATTCTCCTCGGCACGTTTCAAGTTGGCTCGCCTTCTCTCTTTCTTGGCCTCCTTCTGTGCTCGTTTCTCCTCTTTTATTGCCCTCGATAGTTCTTTAACACGTTTCAAATCCTCCTTCAATTTTTGCCTCTTGTCAAGAGACATTCGTGTACCACGCGTCTTTACAATAGACGAAAACCTGTTTATAACAAATAGAAATGATCCATATAATATATTTTATTACTTTTTCTTTCCTCTCTTCTCACCGTTTCCTTTCTTCTTTCCATGTTCTACCAGATTTCGGCTTTCCTTTTGGAATTTGTTGTTCGAACGACTTTTCCTTTTTGTTTTTCTTTGGCATGGGATTCGAAGTCTCTGTGTTAGAATCAACATCGGATTTCTCGTCATTCAATATGTCCTCCGCTCTTACTACTTTCACGTCCGTTGTCACTTCGTCGTTAATCATTCTTATTTAACAATAATATTACAATACTATGATCAAAATACTGTAACTTTTTATAGGTAAACAGTAAAGATTACACTTTCACGTGCACGAACGACAATTGACCGATTGACTATCCAGTGGATCGTAGCCATTTAACAACGACCATGGGGAACGTGTATATTACAGTTCGAGCCGACGCTGGTAGATGTCTTGATATCCCTTATTGGACTCAGTGAAGCCGGCCTCGTTTTCTAAGTTTAGTTTAAGTTTCGTTTAATTTTAAGTGAATTTTATTTACTCGACGATGGAAGCCTTAGAGCAGATACATAAATATTTAAATCCGGATGTGAAACAACCGAAGCTGAAAATTCTCGCCACAGAACACCTGTCAGGTATGCACTTCCAAAACGTAACCTCAACACTTCCCAACATCACAAAAATTAACTGTTTATCGTAATAAATCGATTTCAGGTCTCACTGGCACAGCAGAAGGGCGAGAACTCCTGTTGAAATGTCCGAAAGTATTGACGCAATTAATTGTCATGATTCAAGATAGTGATACAATGATTTCAAAAGCTGCCCTTCAGGCTCTGATAAACATAACAGCAGATGAAGCTGGTGCAAGTGCTTGTCTTCTGATTTCTGAGGTTCAGCCAAAGGATGAAAAATATTCTTCCAACCTGGTCCAAGTTTGTATCAGGTAAATGAATTACATACAAGTAACTTAACTATTTCTTAATTTATTTGTTTATTTGATAGATGTATAATGGACAAAGAAAATGCTTTAGCTGACCAATGCTGCATGATTCTTAACAATATGACTTGTTTATTACATCTGATGGATAGAGTCGTAACCCTTGTTGAGAAAAGTAATTACACGTGGGAAGATATAGTGGCAGTGTTTACTGTCACTAAGTATAACAAAGCTGGTGCCAACCTTCATTACTTGGCTTATGTTATTAACAATGTCAGTCGATCTCCGCGTGTACGAAGGTAATATACAATTTTTATTTAACTTTAATTATCTGTATATCCATGTTTTACAAATAAACTATAATATGTAGCTATTTAATGGACAAAGATCGTACTATTATCCAGAGGCTGCTTCCATTCATGGACTACAAAGATAATTTAGTAAAACGCGGAATTATTGGAACTGTAAAAAACTGTTGCTTCGATACGCACAGCCATGAATGGTTGTTAAGTCCAGAGGTGGATATTCTCAGTTATTTGTTACTACCATTGGCTGGACCAGAAGAATTCGATGATGAGGATAATGATAAACTACCGATCTGTTTGCAATATTTACCGGAAACCAAGGAGAGAGAAGCAGATCCTGAAATAAGGTGAGGGACTATCTCCTATCAAATTTTCTTCAAATGATAATATTTTTTTAATTGCTTCAATATAATTTATTTAATTACTTCAGGCTCACGTTGTTAGAAACGTTGTTTCAACTTTGCGCGACGAAGGGCGGCAGGCAAATTTTAAGAGAGAAAAATACTTACGTAATTCTCAGAGAGTATCATAAATGGGAACAAGATAAGAGAGTGTTACTAGCTTGCGAGAATATCGTCGATATTTTAATCAGGTAAGATACATTTGCTTCTATTTCAAATTATATATTTAAAATTTTTGGTAATTCTATTGATTATAAAATTACAGGACCGAGGAGGAGATAGGTCTGGACAATCTAAAAGAGGTCGCAGTTCCTTCGGAGTATATAGAAAAATTCCATAAAATGGATCAAGAATTTATTAGCGGTACATAATATAAAATAATCGTTTGATAATAGAAGTTATTTGGTACATCACGAAATGTACATAGTATAATAAATTGATCACGCTAGTGCGAGGTGCGCGTGATATTGCACGTTTCCCATAATTATCAGGTGGCATGGAAATATAGAAAATATACATACAAAATTTGATTAACTATCAGTGTCGATCCTCTTTGCATTTAAACGAAAATTGTTAAAAATATTTTAACAAGACTTGTATAAAAACACTTGGGTCGTTGAATAATTACTAAACTATACAAATAAGATTAAAGCTTACAAGTGGTAGTACAGGTACTTGTAAGTGTATTCGCACGCATCTTAAATTAACGGGATTAAACGTCTTTCTCTCTTTTTTTCTGTATAATATGCGGAGATTGGATCGATAATTTTCGCTCACTCACTTAGAGCCACTTTTGCTGAGATCAAGTCTCGCAGAAACGAGAATATGGTACCGTTACGTGAAAAGACTGGTGGTACATTTCTGCGAAGTGTGTAAATAACAGTACCGTTATTAATTAATAAGTATACACACGGTGCGAATCGATACTGTAATCGCCGTGTTATAGATTCTCCGCAACGATTACTATAGATCTATTAAATTAAATAGAATGCATCATGGAAATCATTCATTATACTTAAGAAATACTGTAATGTTAAAAATGAATGAATCCTTCCAGTTCCTTGTACACGTGTGAATCCACAGGATCTGATCGAAAAAGAAATACTTATGAATTTTCAAAGCTCTTTGGCACTTCAGTTCCCAATCAGAATCGTCTCGTTTTTAGAATAAAGAAATTCGAAGTTTTCGATCAGATTGAGTGGACTGAAATCACCGTAAAAATAAAACGATCATGGTAAATATCCTAATCCCGCTTCCAGACTGATGGAGCTCCTGATACTCGAAGCGTTACTAGCTCTCCTACTGATCCTGTTCGAATCAGCCCCGAAGATTGCTGCGATTTCAGCACTTTTCTTAATTGAGAGGGCTTCGTGATGCGCTCCAGATCTACTGGAACAGTGCGAGAGACACTTCTTATCCCTATCCGCGCCACCCACGTACACCAAGCGACCCTGAGTATCCCTGGCGCTAACGACCAAGACCTTCTCACTGTCCGAAGATTGCTGAGACTTCCGACCCGGATTAAACAAGTCGTAATCAAGCGCGAGGTTGTTCGAACTGCCGTAGCTTGACGACGACTGCTTCTGGAATTAATGATGAAGACTATGAGTAAAATCAATGAAGAAAGTATAACAGTACTTCGTGTTCATACACGAATGAAATGAACAGAGGAAGTAATCCAAGTTAAAGCGGAAGAGACCGTGAAATTATTTTGTAATCACCTTGAGTACATCCAAACCTTGAGAAGGCGTTCGACATCTGCCGGTCTTCGCCGACCGAACTCGTTCCGGACTTCCATTGCGACTGAGAGTACTCTCCGCAGGCACGATACCCCTTTGCCTGAGCTGTTCCAACAAGGTCGGCTGGATCGACTGCCTGGCGCAGTAGCATTTATTGCTCTCGGAGCAGCTGTCCGTATCACAGGCGCACACCACCGTATTGGGTGGTACATTAGTCTCTATCGGAAATTTCCTGGACAACGAGCAGTAACACTTGTCCGCGGACACGCAGGTACACGACTCGGAATCGTAGCTACACTCGCTGCAACTGACGTAACCGCTGCTGCTTCTGTTCGCCGCTGCTCCGCTCCGGTTCAGTCTTCTGCCTGAGGGATACTGAATTCATTTCAAGATTCACGATCTCACGAGGCAACGAAGCATTGCACTTACACGTGTCACTGTCCTCCGAGGTGGTGTGGCAACCGACGGTCTTGTTAGCCCTCCAGGAAGACCGTCTCTTCGCCAATCTGTTCGCCAGCACGCGATTCCTGTGATTGTTCCTGGCGTCGCAGGAAGAACTGCTACCGAAGCTGTCGTTCAGTCTCCTCGCTGGGAAAATCACCGAAGTGAATTCTGTGGGACCACCTTTCAATCTGGACACGGACCTCTTGATAGCTCTGCCGAGCAAACAAGATCGCCTGCTCGATCGTCTTCGCTGCGGCCTTCGACGTCTCCTCATTATACTCGCCGATCTTTGATACAGTTCGTCCTGTGTCAAAGTCGCCGCGAGTTTCAGCAAGAACTCTTTGTACAGAGGTTTCAAGTCGTTGAAGGACATTCCTTCAGGATCTGGAAGATAGAAGACATCGATTACTCTTCGGGTTCTGAAAAAGGTACGTGAATTTCTCATGTATACCAATTCATAAATTACCAATAATAGCTGCTAAGATGTCGTCGACACTGGTCAGCCCTTCCTGGTTCCTGAATTCGTCAAAAAGCTCGGTGAATCCTAGAGGTGTACCGCCTTTGATACTGTTCGGTCTCCTGGCACTTCTAGGGTTTAAAAAGCTTCCCCTTCGAGGTAATTCGACTCTGGTCATCAAGTCTCCCCGATCGACGTCAATATCGCTTTGAGACCTCTTTAATCGAGTCTCCTGAACAGCCTTCATAGCATCCTCTGATCTGCTGACTGGCGGTTCACTACCAGCCCTGCTCCTCTTCCTCACTCTGGGCTGACTGTACTCGGGTAGATTCAAATTCGACATGGAATCGGCCGATTGCTTTTTCAAAGGCTTATCCATGGTCACTACCCTGCTGACTCGTCTTCCAGAAGTTCTCTCCTGATCTCTCGATCTTCTTCGTTCTACAGATATGGAATCAGAATAATTTTCCTGATTGAACTTGTAAAACTCGTTTCTGTTCGATCTACCAAAGAAAATATCCTCTTGCGAACTCCTCACTTTTCCCTTTTCAATTTTACTAGTTCTACCACTATAAATATTTTCTTGAGCAAGGCTGTAGATTTTGTCGACATCCTTAAAATGATCTTCATAATATTTCTCTTTGCCGCCACGTTTGCTGACCCGTTCATACAACGAGTTCTCTTCACTCTTGCAACCTGACTTGTCGACTCTGTCGTATATCATAGATTGCGGTTTTAGAAAATGAATATCCTGATTCTTAGTCGCGTTCCTCAAAGGATTCAAATCGTACGAGCCGTGAGACTTTTCGTAAACCTTCTCTTTGATATCTTCCTGTTCCTTCCTGGAGCTCTGTTTCTCTGGACTGTCAGCTTTTTTACCAGATATTCCGGGCAATTTTTCATATCTGTTCGCGACAGCCTCATAAAACCCGTTAGCTCCTAATTCATATATTTTCTCTGCAGGATCGTGAAAACTTTCTATTTCAATTTTATCTAAATCCTTCTTAGAGCCAAACGTCATATTCTTCGAGTTCAGTTTTTGTTCTTCGTTCGACACTCTTGAATCCAAATTCTTCTGAATCGAATCACTTGCTTGAATCACAGGAGCGGCGTTATCTTTCACTGGTGGGTCTTTCCTTCTGCCGCGAGCTTCCAAAATATCCTCGGCCTTCACGTCAGAATTTTTCTTCTTCCTCCTCGGTACTTTCAACAAGTCTGACGGTTTCTCATCTTCGGTTACAGAAGATACCGAGGTCTTCTTGGCCCTCGGAGGTCTCACGGGTGCCACACCTGACCTGACAGTCTCCACTGGCAGAACACTCGTCCTGGCACTGATTCTGTTGCTCGGACTCGGTTCCCGAACACTGGAAACAACCGAGGCTAAACTGACACAGCCGACGCCGTTCGTTTGCCTCGGTCGACGTCGATTCGCATCCAAATCGGCCAGGAGAGCTCTGTAAAGCGTCGCAGCAGCTGCCACTGCATCTTCCTCGGTCTCGCAGGCAAAAGCGTGACATTCTAACACTCGGTTGGCACCCGGACGTCGCATCACCACTGCGAAAATTGGCGGACAGCGTTCTGCCGTCATCTTCAGATCTCGCATCGTTCTGTAAACGGTGAGCAATGATTTTCTTATAATTCTTATACAAAATAAATGAACGATTAATTCATACAAGAAATAATAGAATAATAAGAATAATTCCCACGACATTGTTAATTTTTTCTTACAGGTACTTTTTTTACCTATACAAGCCTGCGTGCCTTTCCTCGCCTTGATTCTGCTCATGATCGCCCACCAAAGGTAAAAACGCATGGTGCAACTCTCCCGAGGGTGTACGCTTGCTGCGGAGCCGCAACGCACTCCAAACGGCAATTCGGCGAAAAGGGTTGTTCTTCTCGCAAGCGTCGGAAGTGCGGAAGGTCAAGCCGCGTCTCGAGACCTCGAGCTCCGCTCTGACAGAGACGTCCACCCTCTCCAGAAGCTGGCGAAGAGGTTCCTGGAGTCCGCGGACACTAGCCACACGACCGCCTACTGGAGCTGCGCCCATGTACTTCACCTGAACGGTAAGTTAATTACAATTACATTTTTAATTAAGTGGTGGAAGCATGTGGTTGCTTGGGATTTTTATTTTTTTAATAATTGTACAATTGTGGTATTTGTTGAGCGAATTGTTGAATTAATTGTTAAATAATCGCATTGGGATAAATTAAAGAGCAATTAATGTAGCAAAGTGAAAATCTAACTATCTATTAGACAAACAATTAAGATCCTTTGATGTAAACGAGATAATGAAAGTTCATCAAAATGCAAATACGTAGTATAAATTATGTAGATTAATCGATGGTACGCCGTTATCAACGGTTTTCATCGGCCACGAGCAAAACCGTTTTAGAAACATTTCGCGATTCGCTCGTTGAACAAACGTCCCCATTAAAAACGAATCAAAAAAACGTTTGCTTGTCATTTGGTATTTATACATAAAACCTGTGAAATACGCGAAGAAGCGTGAATGCTTTGGCCGTTAAAGCATCCGATAAAATTCGAGAACCGTTTGAATCCTCGGTGATTTCTGGGGAACAGGTTTTGTCCTCTGAGAGTGATTCTTAAAAACATCCTCGAGCTATGCCGAAAATAGTTCTCTCATTTGCGTTTCTGTTATTATAGAAATGGCATCAGTCAAAAATTCTTGTACGACATTGAAGTATAAATCGATACGACGTTCTTCTCGATAATAATCGGCTAATTCTGTAAATAACTTTTCAATTTTCACTTGTCCCGTTTCCAATTTATTTGAAAAACCATTTCGTGACTACCGTTTGCTCGTAAATCCATAGTTGCGATTGCATCTCGTCGATGATCGGGCTGACCCCGACGTCGACTTCATCGACGAAGTAACGCGGAAGCGATCGTAAAAGGCAATGAGAAAAATCGGCATACCGATCCGCGGCAACGAAAGGGGAATTTTTCAGTGCTCGAAATAGAATCCCGTCATGCTTCGCGAATCGGGAACGGAATGAAAGTGACGATTAAAAAACGTTGAGTCCCGACGAAACTGCTCTTTTGTCTTTCTTTCATTTTCATCAAACGTGTTTAGAAAAATGAATCAGTCGACTAGCAATTCAAAATTCACATAGGAAATTTTTCCGGATTTCAATTTGGGGCGGAGATTTTTGAGTTCGGTCAAGTGAAAATTGAAGGAATACCATTTAATATAGATTTCTCAGATAATAGAGATGATAACTCGGCTGATTTCATATAGAAAGTGCGTCTGAATGCGTAAACGTTCTCAATTTCTTTTTTACCTACACTATACTAGAAAATGCTTTTTATCATACCGCTGAAGATTTTTCATTAACGATTTCAATATTCATTGATAAAATTAAATGGAAAACCGAGAAAGATGTTTCTGTAGCATGAAATCAGGAACGCATATCACAAAGCATAATTACCAGTCGCCAGTGTTAAGTGTTACGGACGTTCGTTCTACCCTCATTCAATGAAATTTTATTTAAAAATGAATAAAGATATTCTATTCAGCATACAAAATAAAATTGTGAATTTTATAATTTACATAAACTTGCTGAAGGTTTAAACGAAGAGAATCCTGTTATTCCTCTTTGAGAATGATATTAATCTGGTTTCTTTGCTCTAACAAGCCGGACAAATTATTATACGTCGATCTAAATTTTATCTCAGAGTTCGCCTCGGATTAGGTGAAAGAATTTGGGCTAATCAAGATAACTGGCGCGTTCAATTTATTCCTAAAGCCCGTTTCCTAGCCATATTCCTTCAAAATTCAAAGAGAGGAAAGATTAGGATTTTTTTCAGATGCATGAAATACGCGGTGCGTGCAACGTATCTCGCCACTCAAGTAGGTGAACACTCCGGCGAAGAGGCGAGACAGCTGCGTTGCTCGTCTCGAGAGTGGAACGAATGCTCGTTTCCCGAGATTTTTCTGACCGCTGGTGGGAGCGAGGGACGAATTAACATAAGTGAAAATCCTCCTTTTTCTTCGTGATCCTATCTAATTGCAGTGAAATCTTTCTGGTGCAGGTCCGCGGAGCAGGAAAACGGTTCCTCCGGGATGCACTTCGCACCGGCTCTTTCTTTTGTTCAGAAATGGTCAAGACTCGACGAAAGAATTTAAAATTACTGCGGCCAGTGGTTAAAAAACGATCGAAGTAAAAACGGTGAAACGGGAAGAATGCTCGAAGCAGAGTTAATCGTACTATTTAACGAAAGAGGAGAAGGCTTCCTTAATTTCCTGCGGTAATGGAATCGAGACACGAAGAAAAAGAAAGTAATCAATGCAGTTACCGGTAAAATTGCGGCGGCGCATTCACCGGGTGTTCCGGTTTCGGCTTCCACGGAAGCGAACATCGCCTCGATTCGAGCCTGAACCGCGCTGTTCACCCTCTTCTGCTCCTCGGCCCCGACGTCATCCAGATGGTTCGAGTTCATGGTCGACACCTCTCCGTACCAGCCACCCACGGTGGACCCGTAGATCGACCTAAATCGGTGAGTCTTTTCACACTTAATACAATCTAAGCGCAATTGACTGCAGATTTTAATGTGAAAATTAAACACTTCTTATATTTTTACGTATTCAAGATTTTATAAATATGTAAAATCTGCAGTCTAATAATATAAAATTCGTACCGCGAGTCCTCGAAGAGGGCATCGATGCGAGCTTTGCTCCTAAGGGAGCATTCCGACGCGGGACCGGCCAGTCGAAAGCCATCCTGGTAACAGGACATACTCACGCAGGACATCGTTGAGTCCTAGTCTTAAATCTTAAAAGTTTCCTCTTGCAAGCTCCGCGGAGCTTTCTCTCTACTTTTTCTAAATGACGTCATTCGTTCTGAAACAATCCATTAATCTTAATTATAAATCCACCTAATCCTCGATTGTCTATCATTTCATAGTCGTTTTCATTCTCTACTCCTTTCGTATAAAAATAAGTGCGTCACGCATATTATAATTAGAATAGAATCTTTAAAATCGAGGTTGGCTTCCGACAAAAATGAATTATTTTTGTTACGGAGAACTCCGTCGGTGAACGTTAAATGAAAAGTTAACCACGTCCGAAGAAAAAATGCGAACAGCTAAAAGTGGGGGGAGTTTGAAGATCTCGCGAGGATCTCACCTCGTTTCCACGGACCCTTGCCGCTGGTCCGCAGCCTGCGTTAAATTTATGCGGGACTACGCACCGACTTACGGGCTGCCAATTAAAACTGTAATTGCGAACAAGATTCGATAAGGAATGTCCAATCAGGGTACCAGTTATCCCCCGAGTAAAAGTGATAATACTTGTTTAAATTCACCCTTTCGGGCAAGGACGTTTCCTCGGATACTTGAATTCTATTCTTGGAAACTCATTAGCAGTGTATGAAAATATTATTCCGTCCGTGCAATCGTTTATGGAAAAGCCTGTTTCCTTATTAAGTAGCAGCGGTACGTCGTTTAAAAAGGAACGCGGAAGGCTCGTTTTCTAAGAATCAAAGCCTCTTGATTAATCGCGCAAATATTGACAGAAGGCATAACCATTCCGTTGCAATGCTATTCTAGTTTATATGCATAAATATATCCCTGGGATTTGAACGGGTGCAGCGGTTTAATGCCCCATAAATATGCCAGTTCAGTTCAATTTCTCTCCACGGATGAATCGCGGTGTACCCGTACGATTCATTCGCGGTCGTAAAACATAACTGGAACGTTTTACCCATTGTTGCATCAGAGAATTCTGCCAGGAATTTTCGCGCTCAGGCTCACACCGTTTGTCTATTATAATACAGGATTTATCCAAGAGCAGGAACAATGCAAATATTTGAATAAATTCCAAATAAAGGTATAATGCAAATTTGCAGAATGAACTGAAGAATAATGAATAAATAATTAATTTTCGTCTTATGCTTAATCAAGAAGTACTCGCATTGTTTGCATTGAGTAACATTCTGATGGTTACAATTTTCATCTCTGGTCGTCTTAGAAATACTCTGAGGTAATGTTGGTTTGCTGAAAGGGTTATTTGTCTTTCTTAATGGATACAAATATCGTTGCCTATATACTAGTAGACATCGGTCCAAGATACATTAGAGGATGATCGTAATTTCTAATTCCACGTCTTGAAAACGAAATGCCGTGAATCGGTTTTACAGTTAGGAAGAATCTAGGGACTCTTCTAAAGGCGTCTTCCCTACCAGGTTCTCGCATTATTACAGGGAATAACTGTCGCTCGCGCCAAGACATGTAAACGGAGCCCATCTGGTCTCTCACGTGGTTCACCGTTGCAACTTGTAATTTAACTCCAAACTCGATTATGAAATAGATTTCGAGATAATTGTTTTGAAAAAATATAGATCTGAATTAGTTATTGAATTAAATGAAATAGGTCGAACGTGACTGATTTCAATGTTAGAATTCTGAAATTCGTAAACTCGTAAATTTTGAGGAATCTCTGAAGATACCGTAAAGTGATCTAAATTTTAACTCTGAACTCTGCGAGGATTCACTGGGAATCTGGGTCAACTTTTTCTGTCTTACTGACTTCAAAATCTGGTTCGGTGTACACGCGATTCACGGTTCAAGTATAATTGATCAGCCTCGATCGAAGAGTGAATCCAATTTCGGAGAACGTGGCTAATTGTTTGAGCCTCGTTGCGCTCAATTATCGTCCCGAAGCCCGGGATGAAACCTTCCTTAATCATCCACTTAAATGAGGCGAGATTTCATTTTTCCACCGCGGCAAAGAACAAAAGAATGGCTCGTAAACTTAAACGAAACCTGTTTCTCGTGTCCATAAAACTGTAATTTGCTATTCTATCTTATCGCCTCATCTGATCTGTTTAAGAGATTACTCTTAAAACTGCGTTAATCATTTACAAAATCATTAACAAATATTCTACATTCAAGATTGAAATGATTGAATAAGATCAATTGCGATTCGGTTCAGAATTGATTAATTAAGAAATAAAAGCTGTTCGATCGGGGAAATGGTATTAAGGTCGCGAAGAGGATTACAGCATCACGTGTCGCCGCGACGCGTTTTAAAGATCGTTCAGGTTGGCAATTACCAAGTTCACGGCTCGTTTGCCGGCGTTCTAATGGAAATCGAATAGGAAGCACGAAACTGGTCGCGTGCGGGGGAAAACCGTGTCGAGCCGGTGAAAATATTGCCGATTCAGATAAGTGGACGAATAAACCGAGGAACAAATTCGAAAGAAAGAAAGTTCGCCTTAACTGGAATCTTAATTCCTCCTGCAAAATGGTGCTCGCTGATAAATTCCATGATACGCCGCAGTAAACGTCGAGTCCACCCTGAATCATCAGATTCCATCTACTTTCCAATAACCGTTTGGTTATGCTTTTTACGCTGATTCAAGAATTTAATGCACGAAGAATTCAACGTCTACTTTCTGTTTGGTTTTAAAACGAACTGCATATGCATATAAATAACAAAGCAAATTGAGGATAAACGAGACATGATTATTCCACGTTGGATCATGAACGAATTTCACTTACTTCGAGATGTTCACCGAAAATCATCTGAGTACTTTCCAATCCCAAAGCGTGTGGAAAAACACTGGCACATCACCGCCATGCATCCATCGTGAAGGAATCACTCCACGTCTATCGTCAAAGATCCTCTAGATTGATTCGTCATCTTCAAGAGAACTCACAAGATCGTCACAACAAGAATGGAACGCACCCGGCACACCTGACGAGACTGCGAATCGGTCACCGGTTTTTAAAAATAAAAAGCCTCGATACGTGGAGAGAAGATCGACCTTGGCCGCGAGTCGATCCGGATGACCGTCGACGTGAAACTGCCGGGGATGTTCTGCAGGAGAGACTCGGGTTCTCTAGCCAGTGAGTCGGCTCCTCCACGCTGTAACGATGAGGAGGAGGAGGAGGAGGTGAAGATCGACGGAGAGAGCCTATCTCGCCTGTTCGCTCTTCGGGAAGGGTGAACGTCTCGCCGACTCCGACTTTTTACCGGAAATCTCCGGAGTGCTCCGTCCGAGGTGCCGACGCGTACTCATCAATGTGATTAATAGATCCATCGATCTTCGTTTCTCTATACTCATCGACAGACTACTGTCTTATGAATTTACAAAAATAAATAAAAAAACGGTTCCTACTATCCAAAAATCATCTCGAAATTCGATATTGCAAATATTTTATTCTTCCTAAAACTACATAATCTAATGAAAATGTTTAATCATTAATATTATAGTCTCTCAGTTTGATCGAAACTTAGAAAAGGGGCTATCGACATAATAATTTCTGTGCAAGAGACTGTAATACGTGTAACATCGGAAATTCCTAGAATTTAGCGAGGAAAGTGGGTCGAAAACTAGTTACGTGCATTATGCTAATTACGGTGCGTTTAATGCGTAACCATTACACGAAGGAAACGCATAGGCATAAACGATGAAGGAATTGGAAAAAGCCGCGTGCCTCTCATTAACATGACAATATCGAAGTTTCGAGTGTCTGAGAGAGAAATCCGATGAAAACCATTGTTCTACGTAACAGGAATCCGTATGATTGAAAAGAAGTAGCATTACGAAACGAGCTGTTGGCTGTTCGTCAGAGTGACTTAGAATCGCGACGTTATCGGGGACGTAGAGCGAACCACCGATTCTCCCGATTCCCACAGGAAATCGTGTCGAGACAATAGGCCAGACGGTTCCGAGGATTACCATAAGGAAAGTAAAGCAAAAAACTTGAACCCGTTAAGAGGCAGATGTCCCAAATTCGGCGAGAACGAGTCGAATCGAAATCAACGTCCAGTCCGATTCTTATCCATGTGACCAACATTTTTGTGACACGGAAGGGTCAAAGAAGTACGACGAAGAGAGGGGTGGAGGCGGTCGAAGCGTTGCGGGAGAAGTCGAAGAGCTACAGTCTCGATTCTCTGGTTCTCGTCGCTGGTCCTCTGCTCGGTAACGCCGTAACCGATAACGGTACCGCACTCCGAGGCTCACCAATGTGAGAGTACTGTTATCCCAACGATGCAGCTACCCTCTCTCTTTTGCACTCGTCTTCATCCTTCTCCTCGTCTCCACCGACGAGGCTTCCAGCAACGCGGATGGCTGTTAGTCGCTCTTTAGCGTTCGACACAGACGTACTTCTATGAACAATTAAAGAAACGACATAGATAGCAAATTACAGAATGAACCAATGTCATTTTTTAATGATTGATTGTATATTAGAATGAATCGAACAGTAATGAACACGAACATTTTTAATTTCTCAAAGCGCGCTTTTGTTAAAAGTTGAAAACGGGTTATCAAAGCGGAAGCGGAAGCTTGTTTGCGTGCACTTTCGTATTCTCGGAAGCAGCATTAGTTCCTCCTTGTACGTGATTAAACTCCATCGACGACTTTGAATAATAATGTTCGGCTATTTTAAAACACCCTGGGTATCGGTTGCATCAGCGACAGCTGGTGGGTACCGTTCCGAAGCGGAAGTGAAGTCGATGATTTTTCATCCACTCGCTTTCGCAGCTGTTGCCAACTTCCACTTTTTTCAATCTTCGGAAAACTTAATTACCGCGTTCAGAAATTATACTTTCATCTTGGAAAGATCTATAGTCTCTTAAAATCATATAAAAATTTAACAGCGACGAACACACGAGACTCCTTGACTATTTACAGACATTTTAAAATTATAATACGTGCAATTATTTTCACAAATAGAAGTATGGAATAAATAGATTCATCAACTGGTTTCTCAACCGGCTCGATTACGTCCTTTTAAAGGCATCGACGACGTCTCCGCGATAATCGTCTTCCAATTAGATCCTGCGCGAAAGTGGAGCGAACCGGAATCCATTCCGGGATTCCAGGTCATCCCAATCGCGAGACGATCAACACTTTGGTCTGATTAATAAGTCTGATTCATGCGAATCCGGATATTCGAGATCTAAGCGTGCTTCCTACAGTTCCTATTGCGTGGGACGCAATTACACAGTCTGCTTCCTACGAAAAGGAACGCGCGATTGTCAACGGTTGGCAAACAGACGATCGTCGCTAATATGAAAATTTATCTCAACCCTCGCGTATCATTCAAGCTTCCAACATTTTTCCTCTATCGAAAGTTTCTCGCCTCAACCCTTTCATGTTCTTTTTAAATTATTTTATCCATAATTCAATCCTGTGATCTTCTTTATTTAGTTCTCATATAATTATGTATAAATGATAAAGATCGAATTGTTCGGCGAAGAGGATTTTGATAACGGTCCATGAATGACCGGTACCGTTAGAAAAATAATTTCTGCCGCCAATTAGATGAGCCGATCGATAGCCATGAAATTTCACGGAGGAACCGTGAATCGTATCCTCCGGTGTGGTGACCCTGTTTCATACCTAAAAGCGTGCACGTGCGCGTGTGTGCGTAACTGTAAATTGTCGCGTTACCTTCTAACTGTAATGCGCGCTATCAGTGTTTCCCGTGGCGAAATTGCGCCAGCAGAAATCCGATGTTTTTCCAGTAGAACTGTTGACTTTTCCTACCATCGCGTGCATGATTACTGGCCACGTAATCGATGCCGCATTCCAATTGATGCTCGTCTTCGATGTGAGAATAGCTGTTACGCTAGCCTCTTGACGTTTTGTCTTACCCTTACCTTCGATGCAAAGATTCATCTTCAAAAGGACGCGTTCTTCACACGCACATCCTTGAAACGGTTGCCATGCGTTAATGGTTTCGAAGTTATTGGCAAAAAACGAAAATTTCGAAGAATTTGAAGGGGTTGAAAAATCTCGAAAAAATTAAAATCTTTTTCTCAAAATATTAATTAATAATTGCATTGCGAAACGAAGACAGATCTCTTCTTATGAATTCGCTTCTAAATCCCATTGATTATAGATCTCTCCTTATAAATTCGATTCTAAATCCCATTACATAATTATAATTTATGAATTATTCGCGTCGGTATGTAACTCTCGTTTGTAAATGATAATATGTAACGGTATCGGTCGTGCTAGTTTTAGTACTGTTATAACGTATACTCCCACGCGTACGATACGGTCCACCAGGGAAGTTTATAGGGAAAAAAAAATAATCGCGGTGAAACAATCGAGACGTGCGATGATGAAAAGGTTTATGTAACCGAGAATTCATTACGCGTAGAATCACGGATGATGCTATAATTCGACGATAATGATTCTTCGCGTCGCTTTACGCAATCACATCTTCAATGCGACTGTATTAATATTTTTAACATGTTGAGGGACGGATTAGTCATTTATGGTTTAAAAAAGACAGGCATTAATTGTGCGATCCGAAGGAGATAAATCACAGAATTTGCATTGCGTCATATACTTCAATGATCCAAGGCTACTTTTTATTCTTCGCTCTTTGTTCAGTAACAAGAAAATAAACCAGTAATTAAGAGAGACTGGATGTTCGTGTCAGAATGAAACACACACTTTTTCTCCACGTTATTTTCAAGATTTTTTGGTACAGTAAATTTAAAGGGAAACCTGATGTGAACCTTCAATCGTTTCTCGAGTACATAAAATATAAGGAAGCTTGTAATTTACTAAGGAGTAGAATTTACGGAAGTTTCATTGAACAGTGACAGATTCAAGGCTGAGGAAGATTTAAACGAGACTCGTTTTCAAAAGCGTCGAACGCAACGGAGGGAAAAGGCGTTCGTTCCACTTAGACCGGCAATCAAGGCGATTTGCATTCCAGGGACGGATCGCAGAATCGTCGGCTGTGGTTAACCCTGAAAATTCCACGCGAGTACGGAATGTGGTCGAAACGCCTCGCGTGCTGCACGCGTGTGCACAGGAAACGGAACCCTTAGAACACTCCTAGAATATCTGAAGATTTTTCAATTAGATCTGCAAGCATAACTTCAAAAGAAAATTGAGGCATTAAAAGTATAGAGTAAAACAGTAACAAGCATCGTTTAGAAATATCCAGTAGTCACTAATTTCATTATAAGGCGTGATTTCCGTCGTATAATAAAGTCATACGTATGTTTTGATAAACAAATTATTGCACGCGATTCTTATCGATCCACCTTATAAATAAAATAATTGGAGGACAGTAAAATGTTTGATAGTAGGAGTTGCATTTAGTTGCATTGTTAGTTTATTAATTAACTTTGCATGGCAATCGACACTTAACAATATACATAACATATTCGCAATTGGAGAGGACAGAATGGATCGCCTCTGATTCATCTTCCTGTCTCTCGTGCACATCGCAGAATACTTGTACGTTAATTCACAGTCTGAAAACTAGACATACAATTATTTCATACTTAAGGAGTTCGTATGAATTATCTTATGCGCTGAGTAAAAGTATTCTGCAGCCTCCAGTTGATCTTTCGAGGCTTACGTAACAAGACGTTACAGCTTAGAATACACGTAATCGTGTCACGAGAACAGTTTGCACGATCCCAGGTATAAACGAGATTCTACCGACGAATTCATTCAAGCGCTTCACAAATAAATAATCGTTCGCGCTTTTTAATTAACTCTGACCCTACGAACAGTTACTCTCCTGCAAGGAATTCGATAAAACTGTGTATAACTATCGTCGATAATTTGCAACCCTTTAAATTGTTTAATTATTCACAGAGGAGAGTACTTATATTGTTACTTAAAGTGTAATTATTATTGTTGAGTCTAAACAGAAGAGTATAAGGATTTTCTCTGCAAATATTTATCACGGTCCAAAGGGTTGGCAAACGATATATAAGTATAATTCGAGTCGAGAACTGGGTGACTTCCTATACAATCATCTGGCACATGCGATTAAATAAATAAGTTCCAGTTGCACCTCTGTCCGACCCGCGTTCTCCTTAATTCCTCCGCTGTTTCTTGACGACGCGTTCTGTCATATTTAAAAACGTGTTCATTTATTATTTCGATTCTCTTTCATCTTCGATGTAAGACATAGACCATTGAAAGATTGATTATATTTCACAAAAGTAATTTTCGTTCGAACACAAAGAGCGGGACGCTCCGTTCCAGCCTGATAACTTAATGACGGTGCGAATCTACGAAAATTCGCCCCGTCATTCAGGTCCAGGTTCGACTCGAAAAACACAGCGAAGAAATTAAACGGCAGGTGTGCAAAAAATTTCGCAAAAGTCGGACGCTTTACCGGCGTTTGGCACTGATTCCCATGCTTCTCAAAACGGAGGCACTGTCTGCAATTCAACTGCGGATTCTATGCAATTTCCACGACAAATGACGAAATCGTACTTGGGAATTGATTTATTTTGCATGAAAATCCGCGGTGTAATTGGAATAAGTAAGCGTGGAAAATTGGACGGTCGATTTGAGTGAAACAATTGAAGGATCGTCTGGAGCATTGAGCTATATAAAACATCTGGAGTGTGAACGAATGGGGGGGTACGTTCGCCGACGAAGAGGAACCGTGAAGGAATCTCTTTCTCTTTTTAGGTGTATAATGCATGTTTTCTGAACCTGAACTCGAACGCGTATATGTCGAGTGATTGACAATGTTATAAATTCAAGTGATTCGATAGAATACTGAACTTCTATCCCCACCATAGTTAAATTTACTACAAGATAATACAAATAGAGAGAGAGAATATAAAAAGAAGGACAGAGATCCCCCATAGCTTCTCGCTTCTTGGAGCATCATCGCTACTCTTCTATCTTACGACTTTTGACAGCCGCGCACACTCCAGATATTTTATATAGCTCAATGGTCTGGAGATTGAAATTGCTCGTAGTTACGTGAGCTGATCGGTGAAACGATACCGTGATTAGGTCGTAACAATGATGTCGTTACCAGGTTCCCTTGGAGGACAATCGGTTTCGCGAGAAAGAGTGAAAAGAATTTTTGTCGCGTTTCGCAACTCGGTTCAATTTCGTTGTCCGACAGAGTGTCAGTGGGTCGCCGTTTCATAAACTCCTCTGACCGCGAACGCCGCTTACGAAAACCGATTGTGCGGTCTACGTGCAAGTTTCCGTTCGCCATTGTCTGTTAAACAAAACCTTAATCAACTGCGACTGCTAATTTCGTTAGAGATTCTATGATTTCAACTCGGAAATTCCTGGTGCATCAACTCCTTCGCGTTACACGTTAAAATTGTTAATAATTGTAATTTGGGTCTCTGCCGATCTCTACATGATTCTTTTTTTTTAATGTACGTTACGTATCGTGGTGAAACTCGTTGCGAAACAGAAGCGACACTTTTCACCTGCTCGATCAATGCGATCGATGAAGCAGACAGCGAAAAGGAACGCTCGCTCGACGTTCATTCGCATACGTGCAATCATCAACCGCATTTATGCTCCTTTTTCCCCTCGACCATAATCACGCGATGAGAAATGCCACGACTGTTATTTTTATATCTATCAAATCTTTAAGAAAATATTTCAATTAAAAAATCCTTCGACGTTTTAATTGGTAGACACTTTCGTCGCAAAGAACTGAAAGTAAATCAGTTTTCTCGAGAGAAACAGTTGCATACTTGAGTTTATTAACATGGAACGAGAACGAGTAAAAATAGTTTGCATTCCGAATGCAAATTCTTTGTTCTATCGGAGGATGTCAGGGAAAAATTTATATTGAATGACGAAATGTAGCTCGACGCGACGAGTGTAACCGGTTGACATCCACGAATCGATAGTAATCAAGCCTAATTGTATATGCATACGAGGCGATAGTGTGAGTGCACGCGAGGCGTCTGTATAACCAGTTTCGTAACGCGCACGACTCGACCGCCTGCGAGCGCGAACACACGTCATACGATTGAATCGTAAAAATTTCAGCTTTTTTTTTCCATCCGGCCTTAATTAACCTTCGAATTCCTCCAACGATTACTGGCACGAGCGAAAGAGTAAATAATTACAGTATTTAAATAATGCAATACGCGAAGAATGAATCCGTTCGTTTAATTATTCACGCTGTCGTCAGAACTGGAGTAAAATTATATTATATTTACACATCGCATTCTTGGCTACTGTCAAAGCAACAATCTCACAGATTTTTCTCCGTCATTAAACTCCTAATTACGATCAAGCTAATTGTGCGGAACATCTATTGCCAACCGGGGCGAGATTGCATCTACGACTTTCCAGATTTTGTTCTCATGCGCGCAATCTCTTGTACACGCGATTATGCGAGTGACTTGAGTAACTCCGTGTCTCCTCGGTTATTAAATAGTCGTTAATTTTCCCGTGGAAAAACGGCAATACCATTTCCCCGCGTTGCAAACATTCCATGAAGTGGTAAACGATCGGCTGTAAAAAGAATACCGTGTCTAATCACGCGTTTTATAAGAATGAGTAATAACACCCGAGATTGAAATTAATCACAAAATATTTATCATGAAAATTGTATTTATAACATTTATTTTATGTCGTACCAGATTTATTAACCGAAAAAAGCGGAGTAAATTTTTGCTCCGAGAAATGCTTGAAACCCTCGCTCGTTTCCCCTCGCATAATTTTTTCCCACGCAATTAAGATTAGCGTTCGCGTTCTCACGGGCGAATGAAACGTTGGTTTAAATCGTCGCGCTACCTTTTCCAGGGGGGATAAGTCGTTGATACAGTTCTTTGATAGCTACCATAAAAGTTAGCAAGATTTTTGCCCGGTGGAAACAATCGAGCAGTTTCAACCAAATTTGTTCCGAAGCAAACGATTCTTCAATTGTTTCTAAATTGAATCGGCGATTTTCTAACGTAAAAGATTCGCGGGATTCGCTTCCGCGAAATGAATACTCGTCAAAGCTACCGACTCGTTTTCTCAGAGGAAATATCACGAGGTAGCGTGGTCGACGTGTGACGAGCTTCAACCAACAGAACGGATCTTCAAGCGACGATGATTCCACTCCAATTAGTCTGTTTGCGACAGGAAGCGATTTTTGTCACTGTGGCAATTACCACCAGGAAGTGAGAAGTTAAACGAAAAGAGAGAAGTCGAAAGAAAGGCTTTCTGCCCGAAGATCGATCTTACTCGAGGCGTTTTTCTAACGCATTCCTTAATTCGAACGACGATCGACTCTCGAGATAAGACGATCGAGGTCACAGGTAGAAACCTGTAGGCTAAGAAGAAGAGGAGTAGAGGGGTGTCGTTCAGCTTTTTGCCGGATCCGTAATTTTCCTACTCGGGCTCGGCTCTTCCGGGAATCGAAAGCCGGGAGAGCTCGAACCAGTTGCCTGGACACTCGCCTCGACCACCCATCACGATTTTCCACGCTGACGCGAACACGGCCAGCAGACCCTTTTACTCTAACGAGCGACCTAATTAATAGTTCCATTTCGGAGCTCGGTAAAACACGACAACGATATCAGTTCACATCGTCCACAGTTCGTTTACAAACCAATTCACGATAATTCTACCGAATCATGCTCGTTGAGTCATCTTCGTTAATCAAGATCGGAATAAAGTGTAAAGGGTATTGAAGAACGATCGGTCCCGCGCACAGTCAATAATTCTTGAGAGTTGAACGCACCAGTAGCGAGTCATTGAACGCGAACCGGGGTTCTAACGAGGTCTGGGCCTAGGCAGGGGTTGAATCTGCTGCGGATGATGCGAGTAGCCGCTTCTGGGATTAACGGGAAGCTGCGTCCTATCCGGATTCTCGTCTAAGCTCAATCCAGCCACCAACTGAGCTATCTCCCTGTCCTTCTTCTCTTCCTTGGGCAACGCGTTTCCGTTCTGCGCGCTGAATCCCAGAGACGCGAGACTTCCGTGACTTCTGCTACGGTGCTCGGCTCTGATACTGTAAGAGAACGCTCTCTCGTTGAGGTGTCCCTTCCGTCGGTAGATCCCAGTGCCGAAACGGGACTCGTTCTCGGGACTGTCGCCGTTTCTGTTCATCTCCGCGGTGGTCAAATCCGCGTGAGACGCCGCGAGCCTCCTGGAGGCTCCGAGGGTCGAAGAATCCTCGAGATGCTGTCTCCTGCCTCTGTTTCCCGCGGTCCCGTAAGTTCCTGCTGGGTAAATCGCGGCAGCCGGTGGCGGAGGAACGACCGGAAGCGGAGCGTACATCGGAACGATGGGAGCGGCTGCAGGAATCGCTCTCAGTCCCTTGGAATGATGGTGAGCTTTCCTGGGTAAGGTAGCAGCGGGGACCAACAGAACTGGCGCTGGTCTGGCCAAAGTTCCCGCCACCGATCGGCTGCTGGGTGGCAAAGGATGAGGATGGTAATGCTGCTGCCTGACAGGGTGCCCCAGAGTATGATGACCATGACCGTTCGTGTACATTCCCAATTGTGGATGCGCGTGCTGAAGAGGATCTTCGTGATTACGATTCTTCAGTTTCTTCAATTTCTTGTTGGCCTTCCTGCGAACGGAAGACGAAGAGGATTCCTCCAGGAGCAGGGGTTGGGACGGCGGTGGCGGTGGCGGCGGAGGAGGTGGCGGAGCGATCAGTTGGCGCGGCCTGGAACCCTTGGTGCTCCTCAGGGTGCCCTGCTCTTGATACAAAGCGTCTACTTCGTCGCGACCCCTGGCCCAGACCTTGTGATTCTCGTTCCCGTTGTACAAGCTGATGTCGTCCGTCGACGTGGCGTCCAGCCGGGTCGCCTGCGGGCTGTCCAAGGTCGTGCTGGACCCGCCCAGAGTGTGATAGAGGCTGTTGCTCGAAAGGTGGCCAGTAGTGACCCCGTTGGTGGTCGCGCTGGACGGGTCCAAGCCTTTCGCGTAGCTACTGTCAGCGTACGCGTGGAAGCAACACCTGACCAGGGCGTTGGCCGCCATGTCGCGTTTGCATATGAACGCGTGACACTCGAGAACCTTGATTCCCGTCGTCCGTCGGAGCACCGCGGCGAACAGCGGCGGGTGGTTGGCACTGGGTGTTCTCGCGAACGGAGAATCCAGAGGGAGGAACCTGGTGTTGGATGAATCCCCGCTTCCGCCTTTGACGTGTCTCACCGCTGCACAGTAGTGCAAGGATTCGATAGGAAAGAACCTGGTGACCTTCTTCCGGTGTTCATCGACGTTCTCCAATAACAGGCCATTGCTCCAAACGCTGAGCCAGGAATCGATTCCACGTGCTCCTAGAGCACCCTGTTCCGGATACAGCTCTCTCAAAGGTTCTTGGACGCCTAGTAGACCTTCTTTACTGGCGTGGGGCACGGAGCTACCCAGGTAGAGGACCCTGCAGCGACAGTACGGCGTCGCGGTGTCCTGATTGGCACCTCTCATCTTGTCTGAACTATCTTTTATCCGAAACCGAAGAAGTCCTCTACACCCCGGTGAACAGTCAGAGATGGAAGCCGATGCGAGAAACAGAATCCATGAGCGTGGCACACGGAACACGAAGGAGACTCACTGGATGTATACTGGACACGCGCGGTGGCAATTGAAATTGCGAAATCGAACACCATTCAAGCTTGCCGGCGGCACACGGAGGAGCAACTCCACCCGGTAACGCACTCCACTCGCGATTACGCAGTCACTTTCCAAAAGGACGCTGAGCAGTTGCAAAATATGTGTACGCGTGCGCCGAGGAGAGTCGCTCTCGGTTATTTCGCAGCAGCTGTAGCCGCCGATCGCCTCGAGATCGGCGTCAGGCCATTATGGCCGCCTTCTGACGGCTTCTCCCACCAACTGGCTACCTGCCGGTCGTACCTCTTTCCTCTTTTCTACCTGCCCCCGCTTCGCCTGTTCCCCGTTCTTTCTTTTTCTTCTTCGACGATCGCCTCTCTCTCCTTGTTCAACCGCGCAACCTTTTCCAACGGCTCCCACCTTCCTCTTGCCCTCTCTTCTGCTCGTTCAGGCCAGGTCCTCAGGTATGCGGCAACCACCAGTGGCGTCCACGTTCTCCTGGTCGCCCCTTACCTCCACGTGTATTCTGAGGCCCGACACACTCTGAACCGTGCTCACCGACGCTCCGAGAAATAGAATGGGCCCGACGAGTGCGTTGGAATCCAGAGGCGCGGCCGACAGGCCCCGTCAGCCACGCACTCCGTCGTCTCCCGCAATCTTCCTTGCCTCATCAGCAAAAATTCACGAATCTTCACTATTTTTGTTCGAGTCCCACGATCGCTAGATCTTTCGGGGCCCGAAGATGGCGCTACCGGTTTCTACTTATACGTCAAACGCTCTTCACTCGATCTTCCTATTATTTGAACTTGCGAACAGCCTCGCATACCGCCCAGCCGCTGCATACGGTTGCACCGGTACTATCGTTCCTGGCTATCTGGTTGATTAATGGTACGCGCACGAACCAGGTAGACTGGCGAACTGTTCGCGGCTGTACGCTCCTCGTCGGACTGAGGGCTGGCGGAAAGCGTGAGACACCAATCGAGCGGGCCCCTACTCTGGGTACGTGCCACCGGGCCCCTCTTTCTCGTTCCTTTTCTCTCCTCGGGTTTTCTGGCCAGGCACTCCCCGTACCAGCCTCGGGATCCCTTCGGAGTGTCTGGAACTATGCCGAGGGAAATGGACATTCTTCCGAGCTGATTTTATGGAGGAACGCTAATAAGTCTCTCTCTCTCTTCCTCGCGAATTTTTCTTTCGCGAGGTGATGCAACGGAGAGGTTTACTCTACGAGATAGCCTTCAAGTTATTTCTGACATTAAATCTTTTATTTTCGGAGTAGGCAAAGTTTTAATCAGTACAGTAATATGTTTATTGAACGTTTTATTGCATGTTTAATGACATTTTAATTAGTGAAAATTTGTATATCTTTAATTACTATTGGCTCGATTATATTTAATGAACAACTTATTACTAAAAGTAGTTAGTTTTATTTTGGAAGTGAAGCGCGAGCCCAGAACTCATTTGAAATTGTAATTAAAAGATTAGATCTATAAGAAGAAAGTAGCAGCAAGTTTTCGCGACTTAAGCTCTACAAAGTGAAACACGCTCGTCAGATTTACGGTCAGCACCGAGAAATTGTTGTAAATGAATTCAAGAAGCTCTTCATAAATATTTACAGATGATTTCTCGTGAGAGATTTAAGTACGAACGTTTGAACTTTGAACAGTCCGATATGGACGGACATAGTTTATTATAAACGTGTTTGCAATAGACTTTCTTTGATTAAACTCCCGTCGAGATTGAGCTGTTTTAGAATGGAAATGAATGATACGATATAATTTACGATTAGCAACGGTCGCTTCGATCCGTTGGATTGCGCAATTGCATATTCGCGATTTCGCCTTCGCCACTGCGAAGCGGAGCGGAGGATCCAGACGAGTCGACCTCAAATCGGCCTCTGTCAAAAGAGAATTCTTTATTTCGCTCCGAACTATAAATGGCACTTGGACGCACCTGACACGATGCACAACTGCAGAAACAATTTCATTCATCTTTACTTTCATTGCATTAGGCAGTTTCATTTTATATTTGCCAGTGGGCCAGGGTCACGGTCTTCGGTCACGCGACCCTGGTTCCACGTTTTACGGCTTCACGCGACGCGCTCTCGTTTCACAAGTCCTTCCTGTGCCACGATTAATTGTACGGAAAACGTCCGCTTCTTTAATCTAAAGAGAAGTCGTAGAAATCAAGGGAAGTGACTCTTGCCGGAAATACCAAGCCAGATTGTTTCAAATTCAATGCACCTTTCCCTAACAAATTAGTACATCAATCTTAATTAGTAAAACATGTCAGTTTAAAATTTTCTTCAGGTTTCAATACGAGAAACAGTTTTTAAAGATATATGCTGTTAAATCCTGCAATTACAAAACGACATTTTTTAAAAGCATCACGAATTTAGAGGGACGCCAGGATCTCTGGTTCGTGTTAATAAAAGAGGCTCGATCGAAGACCGAAATCGTGTGTACTCGTTCCAGGGCGGCCGTGAACGGGACATTAGTATGCAAATAGTCGGATCCAGACTATTGGAACCTGTCCATGTTTTCAGACGTGGAACCAACAAGCTTTTTTCGAGGGATGTAAATCGCGTTTTACGATTTTATCTAAGACCCTAGCCTCGCCTTCTGCCATAAAAACAATCGTTACCCCCTCAATAACGTTGCTCCCATAAAAAGTAATTTTAGAAAGGAATGTGTGATAAGGACAGGAATTTTATTTATTTCAGTAAATTAAACTGATGAGCAGGAATCTTATTTATTTATTCCCATGCACGAAGTGCATTGAAGAGTTTATTCATGCTCTGAAATTCGAAGGTTCCTGAAATTGTGGATGAAGTGGGTCAGTGGGTCGTCGTCACGTTAATTACGTGAATTCCAGAAGCTGCGCACACCTCGTGCGATTACCTCCACGTAGAAGAATTCTCAGTTGATCAAACGTAAAAATCTAACGTCTATCAAATGTCACAACCAATATCTCCTTCAGACAACGTGGAACTCAATAGAATTTCGAGCCTTTAGATTAGAAATTCAGGAATCAAATTCTTGATGAATAATTGGAAGCAATTTTTAATAGTGAGACCGCAAAGAAATTCCGCTAATGCTTCCGGAGGAGCAATACCGGTCTCTGTCGGCGAGGGGAAAGCTTTTAAAATACTTGGCAATCTTCTTTCTCTTTTTCCGGGTTAACGATGTTAGGACAACTTCCTTTTTCCGCGATACCTCGCCTAGCTCGGTTCCACGTATATTTATCTTCGTCAATTTGCAAGCTGGAAAGTTATAAGGTTTCACAAACCTCGCGCGTGCCTAAGAACGATTCGACGTAACTGTAACCGCGAATAAAAATGCTAGAACGTTGACATCTTTTTCCAAATACCGTTCGAGTTCACATCTGAAAATATCTTCCCGTTGCGAATAAGGAATACTACTTGATTGGAGATATTCTAAACAAGCCATACCACTACGACAATTATAGTTTAATCTTATGCATATAACCCAGTGGATATTTTTAACTTGGACACACAATTTTTAAACAACTTCTGAAAAACCGAGTTCCATTGCTGCATACCTGGGTTCGACGAGCCGTAAATCAATAGGAAGGACGTTAACTGTTTTCTACGCGCGACACTCGTGCCGCAGGTTCGAAAGTTGTATGTAAATACGTTAGGAGCCTCCACGCGTTTCTCTTCGGTGTTCATCTCTTCATACTTTCCTTCTTGTGTCATCGTTTTCCAACACGCGTTTTCCATACCGGGGAGATCGTCCAATGCGTGAAAGTTTCCGCGAGGAAAAATAGGGGTTGCACTCGCGTAATAGTCTTCCGGTTACATAAACTATGAGCAGTAATTAAAGTGATTTGGCTGATGTTTAGTTTGCTAAGAGTTGTTAAGAAACGCGAAATCATTTTCAGTAATGATCGTGTTTGGCTACTGGTATTTCAGGTACGAAAACAATTTTGCCACTAGTTTCCCAATGACAGAATAAATGTAGGATCATAAATCAAACGAGTCTATTCTCAAAAAGCAATTGAAACTTTTATTGAATAACATACTAATGTGGCAAATGATTAAATATTACTTTGGGCTAATCGTACAGATTTTAATAAACTCGGTTTCAAAATCGGCACATGGATACGTGCGAATGAAGAGCTCAGGAGAGTTGAACGCGAGTATTGGAAAGATGAGGTCTAGTCGTGTAGCGGTTCACTTTTACTAAATAATGCGGCCGAGTTAAAACGCTTGCCCTGCCAATCTAACGGGCATGTCTCTCTCTCTCTCTCTCTCTTTCTTAATAGAACATTCCAATCGCTAATTAACGCTTCATTAACATGTCGCTCGAGTCCAAACATTCTTGATCGCCTCTCAACAACGAACGACATTCGCAATCCGAACGAAGCGAACTATTTTATTTCTCACAAACCATTTTCCGTGGTAAAATAATAAATCCTGTGTAATTAGCAGCCACGGTTTAATTAATCTCTCCGCATGAGAACGGTGAATTATATTCATAAGGAGGTGAACGCCGTAGGTGAAACTAGAAAAATTCTTTCTCGTACGCTTATCGGGAGCAACGGAACTTCCGACACGGTGTATCCGCTTTTCCGTCACGTAGCCGCTTTAGATAGTCACCGCATTGTGGCTTGCAATACTTACATCGGCATGCCTATTGATGGCAGGGGCCGGGCGCATGAAACTCATGCGAAAGCGGATGACGTGCAGTCACGAGCTTCGCGGAATACCCTAGGAATTCTTTCTACGACCTCGTCTCATTTTTCAATTTTCTCCCATTCTTTACCTGAGACCCCTTACCTGTCCTTTGTGCGAAATTTCGGAGGTTTCTAAAGATAGAATACAATTTCAACGGAAGAAGCTTATCCCCTAAAATTTGCGAAATTCAGGAAAGTTTATGGTTTTGATAACTTAAGGAAATATAATAAAAATGATAAGACGTGGGAAGGCAGAAGTTGAAAGTAAACGATAAATATTGGTAATCGAATTTCACACACAATGGGCTGGCATTTAACCGAGAGAGGCGAATCGCACGTGAGCATAAGGTCTGAGTCCCTCTGTTATAGAGGGGTATAACAGGTCACTGCCATCGAGAGGAGCGAGCAGGTTCGTAGCTCTAGGTCCCTTTATGGGTGAAGGGGATCCACTTCATTCCTTGTGTGTGTCCACCGACACAAAGTCCTGTTTATTTCTTTAATCCGTAAATCTGTTTCTCTCACGGTCTTCGAACGCGCCCCGCGTGTTGCAACCTTAAACGCCAAGGCTTTTTCCCCACACGAATTCGATCCATTGTTCTTAAGCTTTCCTCTCCTCAGTTCTTGTAAACTGTTTTCGAATCAGTTCACACTGCAAAATATCTGCAGTATAAAATCTATTTAAAGGGCAAACTTCTTTTTACGTTTACAAATCAATTATAAGAGTTCTATGAAAATTCCTGAAGAGACGTCACTTTTCCCTGGAGATCTCGCATTCCTGCGGGACGTCGGTCAAGGTTCCGCTTGCTCCGCCCCGCGTCGCAACGGTAACCAAATTTCTGAATTCCATCGGGCGAATTTCATTAACTCACCAGACACCAGACCTACTCCACGGTACCGTTTTTCCCCGCTATAACGGGTCCGCGTTTCGCGTGATCTGTGGCTTCCATCAAACGCAGAAACGTTGCAATGTTTTTGTGCCAACCAGTCCTCGTTCAGAATTCACGTTCATTATTAGATATTATTAGACGTTATAACATACTTTTGCTCATTAATTTCTGTACACCATTTTAGAAATCCATAAAATTGGCAATCTGTATATCATAAATTTTTGCTATTATTGAGAATTGGATATCAGGGAAATAGTTTTTCTTTTGCGGTGTTTTACGTAAGGAGTAGAAGTTGAAACTTGTGAAATTCCATTGAGAAGGAAGGGAATTGCGGGTTGGTCGTTAGAAATCGAGGGGTAAGTGGATCTGGCTTCTGCGGTGAGTGCAAGTCGGTGGTTACTTCGGTGATTACGTGCAACCGATAGAAACCGTTTTTTATAACGAGTATCATTCTAAAATCACGAATCAGGAATAGTATTTTATATCAATTTGAAAAATGCAACTCACTCGATATTAATTTCATATATTTTAATAGATTTCTCTAGACATTTTTAATATACATAATATCCTCAGTCTAATTAATTTCTTGTTGTGTAAGTGGCGAAAAAACGGGACGATCGGGTCCGAGATTTATCGATCCCGGTAGGAAAGACTTTCTATTCATTTGTTATTCCTGCAACAACTATAGACAGTGGAACAATGCAAACTGGCCACTTCCTGCTCCGTTAACCATGAAAGCAATTTAACGAGCCATCGTACGTGATCTGGACGGTGCGTGAACGTGTGCCCGTCGCTTATCAGAGAAATTTGAACACCTCATAGCAATGCTAATCAAACGACGCACGTGCTGTCTGTACTGTAATACCTTCGGCATTTCAAATATTTCTGTCTGCACGTTCTTCATTAAAAATTCACGATACATCAAATTGAGAAGTATTAGAATTTTATCAAATATTGAATCTGTTCATTCGCGTCACGGTGTAAATTAAAGAATATTATAGACGTGCAAATAATTTCTGTTCGCACATACTTCGCCAAGAATTCATAATATGTAAATGAAAGAGGAGTAGAATTTTATGCAGACTCCGTAGATTCAGAGCGTAAATTAACTGAAGATAACGCGCGTAGATCATGCCAAAAATAGACCGTGAAGTACCGGAATAGAAAAGATGTGCGCATATTTTCTTGAACTCGGCCGGGAGTCCACTTTTTATAATTCACTGGCTCCAGATTCTTACAATCAACAATTTCGATCTCTAAATCTGACTAACACTTTCCATTTGCTAATTACGACTGGAAATGCTGATGACGAGTCAGCAAAACAGAGTCAGAGTTATGTATCAGACGCAGTGAATGTTAATGTAATTTACTCGGCGTAACAGCATTATGTAGATGATAAAGAAATAACAAAAGATGAGGAGACAAAAGGAAACAGGAATCCAGTCAGAGGCTGCATTATGCACGAGGGGTCTGCATGAAACGTTTACATTGTCTTCGGAGATTTACGCGACACGCAGATTTGGAAACTCTTTTGCCAAACGCATCTTGAATTATTCATTACTCATAAATATCAGTTAAAAATACTTGGTTCTTTTCAAATATAAATTAGCATGTGAGATCGCTGATCTGTTAATTATCTAACTTGTCAAATTCGAGGATAGGAGGGAGGGTGAAGAAAATCGAAGACGAGGTTTATTGTTACTAATTATTGTTGTTACTGTTACTGTCAATGTTACTTGTTACTTGTCCCTATCATTATCGTTAGTGTCTGGCATCCGGCGCGGATAACAATTATTATAATGCACACGGTACTTGAGTAGTCAACGTGCGATCCTCGAATCGAGGATCTCGAGTCGTAAATACAAAAGGGAGGATAATAAATCTCCCGCGAGTGCGTACGGTGTAAAAATCCGCGACGACTCCTCGAATCCACACCGGGACAAATGAGAGACAAAGAGACAAAGCTCACGACTCTATTACGACGTAAACGTATATATTATACAGTACAAGAATAATTTTTGTATCTTAATTTATTTAATTAATATGGCAGTGAACATTATCACAGATCGTGTAAAAATACATCGACCAGATAAACTGGGACGTCTATAAATAAAATTTTTATCAATTTTAACAAACATGCGTCGAGTCCTCATTTGTCCCGCTGTTATAATTCAGTCAGCGACGCGAATAGTACGGTAATTAAATAATTTATTAGTTAACAACGAGGGTTCAGTAGGGATGCAGAGCTGCTAGGCCGAGTCGCGGTGGCTCTGCGTAGCTGTGTCGATATCGGCTCGGCGTGGGCACTATCTCCAAGGGTGGCCTCGCGCTCTCACGGTCCAATCCCGGGTATCTCTCGTGCTCGGACAATTCTTGATAAGTAGTTGCCCTTGCGCGCACCTTCTCGCGTATTTCCCGCACGTGCGCGCGGTCACGGAAATCTCTGATCTGTCGACACAGAATTGACAATTTTTCAAGTGGTAGTCAACGATTTAATGTATTAATTTATAATAGACAGGAGATTAGGGCAATGAGAATTTTTATTCAATTATTAATTGACGATAATAGACATAAGTCTAATCGGATTTGCATATGGGAATGTATATTAATGTTTTATATTAAAGTCAGTTGAGAGGATTGGAACAAAGAGAGAAATGATGAACCCTTACATCTCTGGGATCGACGAGATTCCTTTGATCTCTGTATTCTCTGCCAGTTGTCGGGTTTTCGTAGAAGCTTCGTGGCCGTGGCCTCGAGACCTCTTGCTGCTCCGACGACGGCCGTTCCATCGCGTAATGATGGGTCCGCGGTCGTGGCCGGGCCTTGTAAGAAATATCGTTCTCTCGTTCAACTTCCGAATGGTTCCGTCTGATCAGGTGCTCGTGAGTCGTTGAACTGTTCACCGAATGCTGACGGTCCTCGTGAATCTGCCTCGAGTCCACCCTATTAAAAAACAAATATAATCCGTACGTTAATGATAATAATAATAATAATAAGAAGAAGAAGTTTTCTGTGATGAATCGTACATTGAAAAGATCGAAAAGTTGTTCCTGGAATCTCGGAGAGGTTCAGAAAATATTGAAGCGTCGTGCTACTTCGAAATTCGTTCCACTTGTCGCGTGCCACTTATGGCAGCTTAATAAATCCGCAGGGACGTTTATCATTTTCCGAGAACCCGTTGTCATAACTCAGCCACCCGAAACAATTTTTTCTGGTTCCCGAATCTCGTATTATGAATGGACTTAAGACGCGTGTCGAGACAATTTTCAACCGGCTGGTCTACTCCTAGCTCGTTCAGCTGGTCGGACGGCTTTTACTCCGAGATTGACACCCGTGATTGCTGGCCCAAAACGAATGCCAGTGCTGAGAAAACGCAAAGGCGAGCCGCCGCGCGCGTTGGCCTTTTAAAACTAGTCTTTCTGCCCGGGAGAAAATGAGAAGGCTCTCCTCCCAATAACGCAGATTCTCTGTATTAGAAAACGAACACGTCGAACTGGTTAAGGTCACCGTTTACCATAATGTCGGTTGCTGTGCCAAGAGCCAATCGATATCACCTTTTCCAGCTATCTAGCTCTTCGAAGAATTGAAAATCTTAAGCCAATATTATGCGAACTTCGTCTGTTTTCTTGAACTATTGACTTTCTACGCTTTTTATCCGGCACGCAAAAAGGTATCGCGAAAACGGTTTACCTGTGAACGGGATGACTTTCAACTTCTCTCTGCCTGGAAAGGACAGGCCTGGCGATGGCCTCTCTCTCCATGGCTCTGAACATCTCCTTGGCATCCTGAAATCTCTCCCTGGGACTCGTCACTTCGCCAGGATTCACCCTCGGCTGATAATGCGGGCTGGGCGACCGTTGCCTGAACTCTGCCGCCCTGCGATTTCGGTTGCAGCTCGGTGAAACGCCTCTGTTCACCTGGCTAGGCAATCTTTCAGGACTCCTCGGTAATCTAGGTAGAGTCAGGCTCGTACCTGTCTCTGCCTCTGGCAGGTAGTCGTTCTCCTCTGCTGGCGCTCCCCAGTCGTCGTCTGAAACCGCAAACAATATTCTAAATGATTCTCCGAAGCTGAATAACAATATACTGAAATAATTATCTAGCTACTTGGAAATTAAAATTGCTTCGAGATTTGAAAACTGTGATTGAATTTGCAATTGAAATTTAGAAGATGTATCCAAACGTCTTCCTTTCATATTCATCGGTTTAATACAACTGAAAAATCAACGAGTAAAACAGTTATCCATTCTTTCGTCAAAACTCATTATATAAAATTGCAATAACTTCAATTCTGATTGTTGGAATCGAAACATTTGGAAGGAACATCAAGAAAGGACGTTTCGTCGGACAGGAACGAAGAAAGGAGAGAGTCCAGTAGAATTTCTCTTTTGTCAAGCAACCTGTCGCGAAAAAGGAACACCTGGACGTCGTTGAGAGGTCATGGAAGGTTTGAAAAGAAGCTATAATAGAAGAGGAATATGGAGAAAGAGAGAGAGAGAGGAAGGAGGCCGAAAAAGGAGCCAGGCTAACAGCTGCCCGAGGCTGTGGGCCGAGAATGCGGAACTTGAATCCTGGCTGTGACCTCCCACGAGGTCGATTCGCGCGCGAATCCATCAGCCCGAGACTACACGTCGATCGGTTCTCGTCATTATCGTCAGGATTATTTTCAGCGAAGCACGTACGCGAGAAGCGAATGGAAATCAGCCATTCCAGCGCCGTTTTGCGCAACAGCCAGACATGCCGCGCCGGGTAAAAGTTAAAAGGCAAACAGCCTGAGACTCCTCTTAACGCGTTCACCACCGATCACGATTCCTCGTAATAAAGTACAGTGGTTCTATTAAGTTTCAATTAACGATAGAGTAGGCAATTCTCTTTGAAGTTTATCATGGTATTAATGTAATTGGTATACTATTTTTACAACGTTAACAGTCAGTCGTTTCGATGTTAATAGGCGATCGTCATTTAATATGTGAAACTGTACTAGATTTTTGAGTGTCAACATTTAAAGAGAATAGGACAGATTTTGTGGGAAGTCGAAAGCGGTTTGAGTGGCTGCCGATAAATTAATCGTCCTAATCGGCGAGTGGAATCTGGCCGAGGATAGTTTCACGCGATGCATCGCAGCGGATCGTGAGCAAAGTGTGCCAGAAGCCAGAAGACGCCGCTTATATGGAGATACGAACGTGGAAATCGTGATCGTGTCCCCGAGACACCTGTTGCGAAACGGGTTATTCTGTCACGTATGAAAAAACCAATGATATAACAATTTTGACCCGTTCGACCGATCGTCCCCTCCAGTCTCTATGCAGTCTCTACTTGATGCTCGTCGATCAGATTTGAAAAATGAAATAGAATACTTTTTAATTCTAGGATACTCATATGTATCGTTTAATAGTTTGTGGAATTAGTAACGTGTTTTAGTTTAAGTTTTAGTTTAAGTTCTGGTCAGAGATGAAGCTGAGTCAAAACTCGAGGAGTAGACGAATGGCACATAAAAACTGACGACGGTGAAAAGTGGCTTTTAGTCGGTCAGTGGCACGTTCGGCTAGAAAACATAGTTACCGGATGAAAAATCGCATATAATTATCCACGCGGTTGATGCATGCTCGCGTTAGCGTCGTAAATCAGGTAAATGTCTCCTAACCCGTTCGTTTAATCGTACGAGATGAGGAAACAGTTACACGACATCTGTGCAAAACTAGTTGTCCATCAACCGTTCGAAAAACAATCTGCGCGATTAATCTCAAGCAAGAATTCTTTGAGATTTGCAAACACTTTGAATGACTAATATCAAGATGGATCTTATTCAGTTGTGATCTTCCTCGTATCTATTAATACCCAGTGACGTCAGGTGTCTCAGAAACATAGATATGCGCGACGATAACCCTTATCAAGCGACGGACATCGAATTAGCGAGGTGATTCGTAGCGATACCGGTAGCTGGACACCGGGCCCCCGATTTTTGCCTGGAAGATGTATGCGTGTACCCGTAGGCCGGTACCTGCCTCTGACACGACGTCCTAACGGTATTCCTTCCACCGTAACAGGTGCCCAATACCAACAGTCCTTCCCGTGCACGTACACCGCCGGTCAAAAGCGAACACCGCATCTCTCGGTAGAAAGAGATCAATTTGCCTAACAAGCATTGCATTTAATCCAAATAAAACTAACGAGCTAGATATCTCGTTACAGTTACCACGTGAAAGATGAACAAACCTCGCTAGGAAGGATATCAGTCAAGCTTGAGGATACTAAAAGAGTCTGAGTGATTCGCTTTTGAGTAGCGGTGTATCTTAAACATACTTAGCCCGCGTTATCTTTTTCTCTTTTTGGCTTCTTTCGGTACCGAAATTTATTCGTTTATCCGCTATATGGGTCAGCCCGTTAAAAAGTCGTCGGAGAGGGAGACGAGTGGGATGACTTTGACTTTGAAGTTTCAATTCACCTCCTGTCCGAGGGCTTTAATCCCGGTTTGTCAGTGATTAAAAGAGACGCGAAGGTTCCAAGATAACGTGTAACCTTGTTTCCTCCAAGGCAAAACGATGACTTTGAGCGCGGATTCGGAATAATGTCGTTTTTAAGTAGTACGAGTCGATGCATGGTCAGACGAGTTTCTTTATCTCTATGTGAGATATTTCTTATGAATTTCTTTTATTTGTCTTGTAATTTCTTTGGAATCTAGCCGTGTACGAGTCTGGCACATCGAATCTGACGCATGTACACAAATATTAGGCACTTATTATTTATTAAAAATAAATATAATTCCTCGTAGATTCCATTCATGATTTTTTCTACAGGAATGCAGTGTCCCAATAGTTCAGGTAGTGTCTGTCAAGGATAAAATCGCATTCCGATCAAAACGAATCGCTTCCGTAATGATTTTGAAAAAATTGTGACTTTCTCTCCGGTGTTTAACAGTTATAAGCGTCGGGACGAAATTCTTTCAGGGGCGATCGAAGTGAAAGCAGAATCGCGACGTTAGAGGCGCGCGCGTTTGCATTCAGCTCGCGGAGTCAGCGACGCGGAGAGAGAAAAATCGAAGAGGTGCCGCGAAGAGCGGAGGAACAATTTTTCGTAGCTCGACGCGAAAACTGGGTTACCAGGTCGCCTTCCGCCCGGTTTTCTACGATAAGATTCGAGGCGGAACGTATGTACGTACGTGCGGCCACCTGTTCGCCCGGTAGAAAGCGTCCAAATTTTTGTCATCCACAAATCTTCCGGGCAATACTCTCTTACGGCTTTCCGTGAAAGTTCACTGCCTCCTTGAATTTCAATCGTTTCACAAGTTTAAGTCCAGCCTTCCGATTACGCTGTTTAATATTGAAAAATCACCAGTGATTTGTATTATTTAATAGCAACAACTGCACGCTGCAATTTTTTTCTTCAGGAATTATAAGTTCACTCCTGTTTCAAGTTTAACGATCTCATACGTTAAGAACTAGGAAGGTATGTTAGAAACTCGAACAACTTTTACAAGAAATCCCAATCCATGCCAATTACACGTCTGATCTCTATAATCTCTCATATTGACTCAATTAATAATCTCTAATCCTACCGATAAATCACCGATCTCCGCATGACCAACGCAAACAGGCTTGCCATTTCATCTCCTTTCACTTCGATTCCATTCGCGCCGCGCTTCTAACACTCGAATCGAGCTGTTCAAATAACCGAGCCGGTAAAATTTGATCTGCCAACGATTTGGTTTGATGTAGGCTTTAATGAAATCGAAGATTTAACATTAGCGTGGACGCGGTGTCGTCACGGTTCATTGGACTTTTTCATAAAATACGAAGGATATCGTTTCCTCGGGACCAGGAAGAGATGAAGCCACTTTCACTTTCGTGCAGCATCAGCCGATCGTTTAACAGGTGTAATAGTCCGGATCGCTTAATTTTCCAGAAGAACGCTTTCCACTCGCAATTACGCGACGTCGCAGTATCGCACCCTTCGAATTGAAAATTCCCGTTCGATCTCATAAATTTCTTTAACAAATTCGATAATTCATTTGTTTTATAGTCTCATCGTTAATTCGTTGAATTCTATTTGTCTTTCTGAATCGCTTCGAATGCCTAGCAAAGTGAAAAGCGTATCACAGCTGTACAAAGACGTTGCGTCAGAGCATTGCAAAAGACATCTAGAAATAATTGCATGCCGGTGCTATGTAGATCACGAATCCCATTCGCGAATATAATTGAACGTCTTACGCAACACCAGATTCCACTAATTACGTCGTCTTCAAGAGGAAAACGGAACATTTTTATTTGGCAACACGTGCGTTGACCCGAGCGAAGCGTAACACTTGAACAATTCGTTTGCACGACAGTCACAGCCGCGCGTTCACTCACGCTTTTCATTCACAATAAATTTCACACCGGCTCGGCATGACTGTCGAATCCCGCCGCGGGAACGCACGCCTACATGTCGTAATTCCTCGCCTGCTCAGCCTTTCGATTACGGAATCCGACGTGACATCACGTTGGATTATCCCGCGATAACGCGACACTGACTCCAAATTATTCCCGTGGGCTCGATTCTCTTTGCGTCAGTCGCGGAACTGTTAGGATTATCGTCGAGACGTGCCACATTCGCGATGAGTCACGGCGCCAAATTTTTGGCAATTTACAAACAGTCAGCAGTTAGACATTGATAAATGAAGTAGAGAAGTATTAAGGATTTTCTAAATAGAATTAATCTTGCAAAGACTCAGTTTCATTCTTAATATACAATTATAAATAATTGTAAGCCCCTATTCAATATTTAATAAAAATTGACATCAATCTTCGAAGCGATAAAATTTGCATGATTGGGATGTGGATATATCGACAAAAAAAGGATAAAGCTTGGACTTACCGGAGGAAGAGTCTCTAGACGGTCTCGAGGGCCTTGGACCCAGGGGATGATGACTCTGATAGGGCGGGGGCGTAGCGGCGCTATCGGAGCCGATTCCACTGCTCGCTGCACTTCTCGTGCCGCCTCTGTCGACCGTAGTCTGACTACCGCCTACGATCGTCTGATTCAGGCACCGTCTGAACTCGATCCCGGCCAAATTGCCCCGATGTCTGTGCACGGTATCATAATCCCGCGGAGGCAGAAGAATCGGACCCACGTCGTTGTCCCCCGAGTTGCCTCTACCTAAAATCCAATAAGCCTCTCTTCGTTTTATCACGTCTTCAAATTTTTATACGTATCTACATCTTGTTTATCATGAGATCGCAACTGTGACTAAAATTCAATCGTAAAATCGTCTGTTAAAATGTGTAGACATAGTTTTACAAAAGCACAGCTATAATTAGAATTGTTGTAAATAAATTAAAATGCAAACGCGTTATTTCTGTCAGTAAGCCAGTATTTTAATAGCACATTTAGCGCCTGTGTTCAATATTTACCGAGCTTGGCACGTAGTTCCGCAGCCAAGGACTCGAATATCGTAGTGGTCTGCACGGAATCGTGCCTGAGCTCGCCGCTACCCTCGGACGATTCCGATTCCCTCGTGCTCCTGCCGTCGCTGCCTAAATTGCTACGAGCCCTGCCACTTTCCAGCGAGTTCACCCTGGCCAGATTTTCGCTGTGCGACGCCAGGGCCTTCAGCTGGCCGCCCAACAATTCGGCTGTCTCCACCGAATCGCATCTAACAGTCAAATATTTGGAATTAAATTGATTGTAACGATTGAAAGATTCGGAAGTTCAATTAATATCGATTTAGGAAATGAAATTCACAAGGGAATTTCTGTTAGCTTTTAAAAATACTAATATGCATTTTACTTTTGAATACATTATTTTATAAGAATGCATGAAGTACGATTTTTATTTATTCATAGGCCAGTAATCGCGACATCATCGATTCGATTGTTCGTTCCCCGTGGTTTCTAATCCGCGAACGATGACCTTTTATTATTTTCCATGAACTCAGCATGAAATCGCGGCCAGAACTATCGTCTGAACCATTTACCTGGTTCCAATCGGAACCGTCGATTCGCGAACGTGGTTGTTGTTGCTGTTGTATAATGAAATTGCGTTTGATCCATTACGTGTGATAATGATTAAATCATTGAACGGAGGGAACAGAGGAGGTCTTCTCACAGGATGGGAATGAAAAAAGAGTACGGTAATACTGCTTTCAATGGCAAGGCTGTTCTATCGTATTAGCATGTGCGAACGCTGACTCGCGGGCGTTATTAGCGACCCGTTAGAATCGCGCGGCCCGTTAATTAAGCGCTCGCCATTTTACAAGATCTGCGAAGAGTTGATTTAAAAAAAGAGAAAGAAACGACGTGCCGCAGATCGAGGAATCTTGTAAAACGGTCGAATCAGTCGCCTTAACGAGGGCCAGCGAAGTCAACGCGTTTCCCTGGGGAATCGGCGGCGCGCTCGTTTTCCGGATAATTATCCGTTAATTGGTATTAATGCCAGCTGATTGTGCGAACCAACGGTCGGTGTTTAATTAGAGATTCCTGACATGTTGGATTAAACATCTTGACATTGTGAAGAAAGACAAGGCCGTCATTTCTTTGCCACTATTGTGGCTTTATCTCATGAAAGTTAACACGTCTTCAAATGCGTGACCAAACGAGATACTGTTTGAATTTCTTCGCAAACACTTATGTAATAATTCAATGCTTTACTCGGAGTCTGATAATTCTAACTGACCTGTACGCGTGCACGTGAACCGGATTGTTCGTTGCCGGGTTGGGCAGCAGAAGAGTCGCGGCGACGACGTCCTCGCGTTGTACAGCGGCCAGCACCGCGTGTCCTGGTACCAAGTGCTTGACAGCCGACCTCGTGGATCCGCCCGGATGCACCGTCTGTATAATCTTCAACCCCTTATTGCTCACCTAACAGTAAGAGAAAACGATCAGCCGGCTTTAACGGCGATTTTATGCGGACGATTAACGCGGCCACGAAAACGCAACATCCTCGCGCGCGCTAGAATGCAAATCGACCGACGCGATCCTCGCGAACCTCGTGCCACTTCGAGCGTTAACAGCGGGCTTTAACGAGCGTTAATCTCGATTTTCTGCCATAAAAGGAAAGAACACGAGATATTGGAGATTCGCAAATGTTATACAGGGTTTATAAATTTTTAATCAATTTTTGTACAATACTTTTTGAGAAAAATTAATAAATGCGATGTATTGAATTCGAATTGGGAGTTTGATAAATAGAAAAGATGCTTTCCCTGTAACAATACCGAAGTACAGGTGCGTTAAAATGCAATTTCCTTTGGGAAAGCAAATAATAACAGCGGTACTACTGAAAGCGAACATGATATTATGAAAAATGGGGCTTTCTCTGTTTTACAACTCGTTCAACTTGGTAATATTCGTGATTGAACCGTCGCACCGACTCCCGTATGTAATCCTGAGTACGAAACTCCAATTACAATCCGATTGTAAAATTAGAAACTCATCTGGAAAAAGTTTCAAGAGATTCCTTTCAAGTATTTCTGCGCATGCAGCTAGGAATTCAATCTGAAATTGCAAAATCCAATCCACGGATAATTCTGTCATCGCGTCTGTGGTTTCGAGAAAATGACAGAATGATCTCGAGCGAAAATTTGGTCCGTTAAAACGTTCTCAAGGCAAGCAGACCTCTTGCAATTACACTTGCACAACAATTAGGTGGACCCCCAAGGCGTTTTCGCAACTCGGTCCTTCTTTTCTTTTTAGTCACGCCCGTGGCCAATTAACGCGTAACTACGTGTCAAATTAAACACTTTTCATCATTAAAACTCATTTTTATTTCGTTCTCGTCTGGTCGATTTCGGACGGGGCGAAACGACGAGGAATTTGAAAATCAGAGCATGCAGCTGCCCTGACAAATTTCGATTGACATGCAACGGGAATGCCGAGCGAACATGCCAGCCGGTTTAACGGTCGCAGAACAATTTCGGTGTCATCCATTTATTTTCTCTTTCCCATATTGAACCGCGCCGGATGTATTAGCCTCCGTGCTCGTTTCCCGCTAACATTCAGGTCAACGAATTTTTTATTACGCTTATCTAATTAGCCTTACTTCATCGGGCTTATTAATGCCCGCTGTTTGATTCTATCTTTCACCTTGTGAGACCGCATTGAGAAGCTCCTATCCGTTTTATTGATAATTAACAAGCCTCCATCTGTTTTATTGAAACGACTGGATTCACTTTACTCCTCTCATCTCATTTGCGTGTATCAACGTTATTACTCCGCGGGAAAGTCTAATCGATGGTTAATCAGATACATAGACGCGGTTAATGGTAATCGGTTAATAGCCGAACGAAAGTTCGTTCGAATGGAATCGTTTGACATCGTTCCAACGACTCTTCTAACTTTCTGATGCAACAATCGGTCGTGGCACGTTTTCGTAACAACAAAATCTAGGTTTCGAGGAAATCTCGGCGAGAAACTTTCATAGGAATAACGCGAGACGAATTTTAAGAGAGCATCCGCGTTCTAAAGATACGTCGTCGTTGTTTGTCGAATATTTTCGAACGTGTTTCACCCCGTCCGAAACGGGTATCCGTATTTTAGTCATCGAGCTGGCCATCGAACGACTCGTTTGCATACCGCGAGTCGTTCTCGTCTCCTCGAGCCCAAGAACGACCGTTAATCCGAGGTCCGAGTGTCCCTTCCTTCTCGATTTTTATTCGTCCCGAGGCGAATTTCGAGGAAAAACACTCTGATAACATTCGCGAGCAGGTCGAGGCTGAAGGTATGTAGGCTGAGGTCGTAAATTGCCATTTTTATTCCAACTGCAAACTGCTTTCACTGCCACCCGAACCGACGGCATTAACCCTTTCCTTCTCGAATCGTTTCAACCACCAGACACGAGAAGCTAAATTTCGTTCCACCCTTTGTGACAGAACGTCGTCAGAATTTCAACGAGTAAATTGCGCGCACCACACGTTGGCATTTAAAATAGATTGCCGTTGCAATTAGGGCGAGGAAAGGATCGACTGCTTTTGTTTTCTGACCCCCCCGGTCATTTAATATTTCGCCGATATTTTCGGCCACGAAACCGGATCTTCGAAATGGTACCGCTCACCTGCAGCGTGACCTTGAAAGGCTCCTGAAGCCGTTCCCGCTCGAGCAGGTAAGCTATGGCACCGGGCATCGCGTCCACCCCCTTGGCCTCCCTCGCTCCCAGGTACCACACGTAGTACGAGCTCTTCTTGACATCCTTGCTGCTCCTCAGGCGCAGGGCCATCGCTCACTGTTCCATCGAACAAACGGTTTATCGTTAATTTCATCTTTCACTAAATAAAATTGGAACGAACCCCTCGATAATAATTAGCTTTAGCAATCTGACGACTTCGAATATTTACGACGTCTGTAAAACGCGGTTCGGATAGAATTTCCATAAAATAAAATCTATCGATGAGATCAGAAACTGAGAGGTACAACATTTGAAAATCCAGGGTCGAAACGAAGTACAGATCCCATTGAAAGATAGGGGAACTCCATAAACCACGCGCAACCTTCGCGCCACGTAAAGTCCAAGGTTCCCGATAGCTAATCGAACCCGTTGCTCAAGTACGCGGCCGGGGCAATACGTTATCTCCCGGCATGACACGGTAATTACTGAAACGCTTGTAACCGGAGTCTCTTCTCGAGACGGCGTGTCCACGGCGCTTTCCGCAGGCCGCAAAAAATACAGTTTTCCACGAACGAGCCATGGCTCGGGGGCCGTAGAACACGAACGCGGCTCGTCTGCTCATCCGCTTCCTCAATTACTTTCACGCTTAAACCCGTTTTCTACGTTAACCGTCTCGCGAAGAATCGGTTCGGTTCCCACCGATCTGCATCGCTCTGATCCTGAAAAATAATCCCAGGAACCGGAACGCTGTCGGTCAATGTCGGTACACGATTCCTTTTTTCTTCATCGATTCGAACACGTTCCTACAAATTCTCTGCGGACGAAATTAATTAACAGCAACACTCATCCAACTTTCATGCTTTTCACTCGACCATAGTCAATTAACCGATTAAATAACCGTGAGCCAGCTCTAAATGAACGCTTTTCAGATCGACAGATACAGCCCTACTGCATTCTATAACAAATACCTGCGCGATCCATCCGCTTCCTTCGATATCTTTTAAAACCTCGAAACTATTACCACGTATTCGCTAATTTGACCGGAAAATGCTCTGTATAAATTTATTATATTCCCGCGAACGTATTCAAATATATTTCTATCAGGTTTTACAATGAAGTCAATGACTGATTCATACCGTATTTTGAAATTCGCTTTTGGCAAAGATCGAACACGCGAAAGCGTACAGTACAACACGATATCGGCGTCTTACGGTATATAGTAGGTTCGTTCTCTCTTTATTTATGCATTACACGCGTTTCGAAATCTTATACCGGCTCGCGTGTACCCGTAAATATGTAATAGGCTCGCTTTACCTTAGGACACGGCACCGTTTACACCGAGAGTTATGTTTCTTTTAACAATAAATCGCGTTCAGTTATCCGGCTACGGACTATCGAACATGCTCGACCCTGATTAATGCCATCCTGACGTCTGTATTAAATTGCTATTCACTCGGCTTACTTCTCCACATTTATTACCGTTATTCGTTAATCAGTATTTATTAATAAAATTACTTATTACCAATCCCCGAATTTGTTAACATTTGAAAATTCCATTTAGATCAAAGTTTCTTTCTGCTTTTCGCATTTCATATATAACTGCATTCCTTATAAGTTCTCTGCACATTACGTTCTTTCATAAATACGTTTATTACGCAGATTATTTATTACTCCGTTCATTTCACGTATTTATTACAGTGTTCCAAAATCGATAAGCATTGATTTGCAACGCGGAAGTCGTTGAAATAATATGCAGAATAAATTAAAGCAAAGTCGATTGACCGGTCGTTAATTATCTGTCAGATGTTGGAAACGTCCCAACGAATGGAAATCGGCGATCGTCCAAAGCGTTACAAAACAGCGATTCGTGTTAAACGCAACAATGTTACGACTTTCGAATCGGTTGCTTTCATCATTACAGGAAATAATTATACAATCGAATTCCATTTGACATTTTACCAATAACGATTGCAAACCGAAGAAATACATTGAAGATCGAGTGATTACTAAGAACTGTATCAAAGGCGAGATTCATAGTTTTTGAACAATTTTGAAAACTAGTTTCCCGAATGATTTAAGACTTGAACGAATGTGAGAATTGGTGAGAGACTGACCGAAGGGGTCCGGGATGCTGAAGAGCTCGCGGCGTTTTTCGCAGGAATTAAGCAATGCTGCGAGCCTGGAATCGAACGGGTCTTCGGGTAGCCAGCCAGACGATGGTAGCTGCGGGTCTCGGCAGAGGAACGAGTACGGTACGTACGGCCCACGTACTCGCCTGGCAGCATGCACAACCTTTGTGTTACGCGTGCGTGGTCAGCCCGATAAAGAAGTAGAAGAAGACGAGGACGAAGACGAAGAAGAGGAGTCGCCTCGGTCGATCTGACAGCTGCGTGACTCCAGTCCGACGCACTTTTCCACGCTCGGCGTTATACGCGTTCTCCCTGTGTGAAACCGAGGAAAACGGAACGGAACGCGAAGCGCGCTGGACACGAAATCGCAAGGTGAAGCGTAGGAAGGCGTCGGTTCACCAAAGAGAGTTCACTTGTCAACGGCGCGGCGCGAGCGGTGTTCGCGCGTACCTGACCATCACGGGATACTGACTCCACGGCGGAGGATCCACCACGAAGAGACCGAGTGAAACGCGGACGAAGGGAGAGTGAGCGAGCGAGAAAAAGCCGCGAAGCATGCGAGTCGAACGGGGACGGAGCGGACTCGAGGTTGGGTCTGTCTCCTTTGCCGGGGGCCCGGTTCTCTCGCTTCGAATGCCCGTGCCTTCGACGAGCCCCGATCCTCCTCTCTCTTTCGGACGAACCGAGCCGCCACACCTTGCGAGATCGCCGAGCGATCGTCGAGCGCAACTCGAACTAACCGGACGGTTTTCTGTCCTGAATTTTAGTCCCGGGGCCTCTCGCTGAACGGAGACCGACCAGAGAAAGGAACAGAGACGGGGGACCCGGGCCCCTTCTATTCGCGGTTCTTTCTTTCTTTTCCCCACCTCTGCCACCCTCCATGCCTGTTTCAGGATGACGGCAGGTTAAGAGGCAGGTAGGTAGAGAGAGGCCTTCATTGATTAGCGATGGAAACGACGAGCGGTCGGTGTCGATTGCTCACTTTTTTACACCAGCCTTATTAAATGTTACCGTGTCAGGTTCAACACTTCTCGGTGACAGTCTACCACGTGAAATCGAACTGCTCGCGTGATAAACGTACATGTAAGTCCGAGCGATTGCGAAATCGAGTCGTTGAACTTAGAACTTGAAATTCTATTAAAAGAAGATTCAACGTCGAAGCGATCTCCGATTGTTTGTAAGACAATTTACATCTTTGATTTTCATACAAGAATGATTAGTAATAGTTTTGAAATTGAGAGAGTTTGAAATCGGTCCCATCACTAGCTAATGCAACAGGCCCACGGTTCTTTCTTCGGGTACAGCTCACGCCATCTCTGTCCCATCGCTACTTTCTTCCTTTGTCTTACTATGAACGTCAGTTTCTCCTTGCCTCGCCTGAAATACGATTCTCTACCGATGAACAGAAATTCGCTAAAACGAAGAAAACATTTTGCAATAAACAATTTTATT